GTGTAAGGCTTGTTCTACAGGGCCATTTTATTTGAGTTCACTGTTTATTTCTTGCCCCCTTACAAATAAAGCATGGAAAATTTGTACAACAAACAACGACAAATTTGGAATTTCAAATAAAATTTGTTATTGCATTTATTTTAGTTTCTTTGTAGTATTTCACATGCTAATTAGTATACTATAGTATCGTAAGTTGTGTTAATTTTCAAGTTTTTCTTTGTTGGAAAAATGTTTGTATTCTGCCGGTGTTTAATTATTTTTTATTATTTTAATTATTTATGTAGCGCTTTTCTCCTAAAAAATTATGATTTCGATAAATTGTTTAAATGTACTGAAATTCCTTAGTACACAGCAAAGCGAAAATATGAAACAGCATGTCATTTCGCGCTACACTCCTTGATTCCAATAGTATCCGCATATCTTTGTTACACCGGAGGCTTAACCTCAGGGCGATATAAAATATTTTTGTTATCGGTATCACCAACTTACGTTTAGTTCAATTTACGTACATTCGTCAGTGCACTGCCTCAGTGCAATGCACTGTTTAACGCAACGGATACTAGATTTTATTCCTTAAGTGAATAAAAAACCCGCAACTGAATTATTAAATAAGGAGAATGTGAATTTTTGAAAAAACTGTACCACAGGCTACTGTAATACCATTTACAAACCTTCTGGAAGTTTCAGCTTAGTTTCGGTTAGTTTAGATAAGTTTTTTTAGATTCAGTTTAGCTCTGAAGAAGCCAACAGGACGATTGGCGAAACGTTAGCTAGTTTTCAGTAAAGCTCTGAAGACTCAACAAAAACCGACGCAGGAGGAATCCACACATTTCATAAATAAAAACACTTTCAAAATCTCTGCAATGACAATAAACAGTAGCTGAAGACGCAGCAGCATTGATGAAAAATGTAATATTTAACTGTGGTGCTAATTTTAATTTAAATCAAAATAGGGAAAAATAAATACGTAATCCAGCGAACATGGCTTATCGACCGAGGGAGAGCAAATAATTCTAAATTTATTAAAAAGTCGAGATATCCAATAATAAAGTGTGTATCCAATAACGAGGTCTTGCTATACTAGTAATACTCAAAAAGTTGTACGCCAATCTAAACAAAATGACAACCATTTTTCAGACTTCTGAGTACGTACTAAAACACGGCATCAAATTGACTTTCATCAAATGAGAAGGAAAAGAAACGGTCCTTTATCCAACGAGGAAAATCGGAGTTCGATATCTTTCCTATGGAAAATATACAAGTCTCGCCTTTCGCGTGCACGTATGGCCCAAAGCGAATCCCTTCCGCATTTATTGTTTCTCTGTCAGATGTAACTGCTTCGTAAAAAAACATCGGCTTGTAAAACTTTGCCTATGCCATTCCGATTTCCGGGGGATCGAAATGAAACGTAAAACTTTAAAACATACGAAGCTCAGCGAACTTTCGATTTTGCATGCGGTTTTATGTGGTATGGGAAATAGACGAAGGACTCGAATTGTAATTATTGAAGCAAAAACACAAAAGAATGACTGATGACAGTTGTCATGATTATAATTTGATTAGTTGTAATCTGGAAAAGCGAATAAAATTTAGAAACCACAAGGTTGCAGTTAAGCAATGTTACCAAATACGACTACCTAACAAGGCACCAAAGGTTTTAGTTTATTACATAGTCATCATTATTTGCCATGATTTGTTGCTACAAATTTTGAAAACTACAGTCAATTCCAGATTACAGAAACTCTACATTGTAATCTAAGATTAAAAATAATCAATGGTCTGCAAAAAAAAATTCTCTCCTTCTTGTTTTCATGCATGAATTCATCTTATTTTATGCTCTAAACACGGAATCTGATATACAAATAAGTACCACACGTAGGTTTTTAATTTGAAATTTATTTAATCAAAAAACAATATTATTAAAGTATAAATTATTATAAGGAAATAAAAAAATGTGTAAAAAATCCTAAATTAAATTAACAAAACTAATAAATATCGTCAGTTATTTCATTATGGAGTGATAGAATTCAAATTACTTAGTAGTTTTCTTCCTCTTCCATTGGAGCTTCTCGGTGAATTGACCAACAGAAATCAGCAAGCATTGCTGCTGACCATTTTCCATTGTAGCGTTTTTCAATTTGTATTATATCCCGATGAAACCTTTCACCATGCTCATCTGATACAGCTCCAAGATTTTCAGGAAAGAAATCTTAATGAGTCTAAAAAATGGATCTTGAGTGACATATTGCATCCTAAAGCTTTATAAGCAGAAAGTAGCTCCCGAATGATTTGTTGATAGTTGTCACTTTTTGCGTTCCCAAGAAAATTATGACACACCTCCACAAACGCTACCCAAGGTCTTTTTTCTGCTTTGCTCAACTTCGAATCAAAAACCTCATCCTTCATGAGCTGACGTATCGGCGGGCCTACAAAAATTCCTTCCTTCAATTTCGCATCACTGATTCGAGAAAATTTTGTTTTTAATTATTGAAAACCTGCACCACCTTTATTCATAGCTTTCACAAAGTATTTTATGAGTCCCAACTTTATGTGAAGGGGTGGCAGAAAAATGTTCTCGCATGGCACTAACGGTTTATGAGAAACATTTTTAAGTCCAGGAGTCAAACTATTTGTTGATGGCCAGGTTTTTACTTTGTAATGTTTGTGTCTTGCGCGGCTATCCCACTCACAAGGAAAACAGCAAAATTTTGTGTATCCTCCTTGTAGTCCAGTCAGTATAGCGACAACTTTTAAATCAGCACAAATATTCCATAGGTATTGTAACTAATACCTTAAGGTTTGCATAATTTTCTTTCATGCTTGTAACACGTGCAATGGGGACAGATGGGTATTTATTACCATTCAAGCTTATTTTTGAAGCATCAATAAAAAGTCTCCATTCGCTAGAATCTTCTGGAAAACTTAGTTCTTGAAGAAGGCCTGCAGGATCATTACAATATACCAAATCATCTTCTTTGGAGAAGTAACTTGTAAAAACTTTCTTGCCTCGTACGAAAATATGAAACTCTGGAACTTTTAGCCAATAAAGTCCACTGTTTTAACCTTGATTCGAGTAACAGTGCCTTAGATTTTGAAAGTCTCAAGTTTCTAACAAGATCATTTAAGTCGCCTTGTTCAAGTAAATGAGGTTCTGTAGATGGACTTGAAGATCCAGATAAAGTGTATGAAGATGAAGATGTACTACCAGAAAGAAAACTCGATTGAGATTGTAGACCTGAAATATTTTTATTTTCAGCCTCCTCATTAACTGGTGGAACTGGAGGTGGAATGTCTTTATCACGAGGAATTTGTCTCTTTGCAGATGGAGGTTCGGATAAACAATTTTATCTCTATTTTTTTTCGAGAATCCACGTGTAGATGTCATGCAGAAATAACAATCATTCTCCTGATTTTGAGGCTCACTCCAAATCAATGGTATTGAAAACGGCATGGATTTGTGACTTTCTTCAAGCCAGCCTCTCAACGTTCTTAAGCAGCTATTGCAGCATACTTTTGGCAACCAACTTTTATCTCGCTCATCGATAGAAAATCCAAAATATAGCTTATAAGCTGTTTTAACCAGGTCGGTCATGACATGTAGCTGTGTTTTTAGTATGTATTCCCCACAAATGTAGCAAAAACAATCTGAGGAATTTTTACAAATCCTTGGCATTTTGTAACCTAAAATCACATAAAATTAATTTTAAAATAACTTTCAAACTTCTATTTTATATTTATTGGCTCTACTTAAAAAAATACTCAAACTACACATCAAATACTTAAATCCAATGTAGAGAATATGAACTTTATGCAAAAATTACCAAAATATTTGATATAAAAGGTAAACAATTAAACGACAAGTTTTCACTGAACTGTTATAGTGTCACAATGAATACTGCGCATGCGCGTATTTACTACCATAAAAATCACATTCGGCACTTCCCTCCTTCTTCTTACAACTCTCTGAAACCCATTTTGTATGTATATTTACTTTTTGTAACGTTGACGAATGAAAACATTGAAAAAAAAAACAAAATTTTGAAATATAAAAAAAATCATATCAAAAAATCTAGACGTGATAGAAAAAATCGGCCAACGGGGATAGATTGAAAACGTTTGAATCGTTATATTTATCACAAAATTTTTTAAAGGAGGATTTCATTGCCAACCAGTGTAATTTACCTAACGAGATATAATGCGGTTAAATTGTTAAGAAGATCTCATGGGTGGACAGGGTATCAAAGGAGTCAGTGCTGGAAAGAACGATCAAGGAAAAGGAAGTGATAAGCACTATAAAGAGAAGAAAACTTGAGTACCTAGGCCAAATAATGGGAAACCACAGCATATACTACGTTCTCAAAGAAATACTCCAAGGAAAAGTTTAAGGTAAGAGAGGACCTGGAAGACGAAGAATATCATGGTTGAAGAATTTAAGAACATGGTTTTCCAAAACAACCACTGAATTGTTCAGAGCAGCCGTGAACAAGGTCATCATAGCCAGAATGATCGCTAATATTCGAAACAAATAGGCACCTGAAGAAGAAGAAACCGTCAATTAGCAAATCTGAAAATTTTAGTTCATATACTGTAGAAAAAAATGGGGAGTAACAACATCCTACGCATTTTTTTGTTTTCGTTAGTTCATATTAAGATCGATTCCAGCCAGTTGTTACTGCCATTTTAAGGGGGGCATAAAGTAGCTCAATGGCAAAATAATTTATTGAAGTCATATATTTATTAATTTATTTTCCTTAAAAAAAGCTACTCTACCTAAATTTTAATCTTCGATCTTCAAGGTCGCAGACGTGTTTTTAATAAGTGTGTGACAATTATCTAACGATGGAACTATTTTATCAACAGGATGGAGGCCCTTCAAATCCAATTGATAAAGTCACATACTTAGTAAGAAAATAAGTGTAATTTCTGGCATCGTTTTTTTCAACTCGTACAAAATATGAATATTTACTTATCATTGATGATTAAATTTAACTTCAACGTTTAATTCTGACAACAACTTTTTCGTTGCGTTTTCAACTAACGCTTTTGAAACTTAACGATAAGTTTGCTAGTTCATTAAGTATTAAGCATGTTTATTGCAGCTTCAATTTTGGTGTGTGTGTTGGCTGAAGCTTCTTCTTATCGTAAGTTTAAAAGTAGCAATTTTTAACTGGACATAACCTGCAAAACGTTTTCAGCGACACCGAGAGTTGTTGGAGGGCAAAATGCAACTGATGGCGAATTTCCCTTCGCGGCAAGTATTGTTTCGATTACACTGCTTTCAAAATTAACTGAAAATTTTGATTTCCCTTATTATGTTGACACTTAATAAGGGTTCTGGTTTCGCGCCGTTTAAATGAGACACCGAATCAAAAAACAAAATGAATTGAAGATATTATTAGGTTAGGAAACATTGGTTGTTCTATTTAAATCTGCATTCGCCAAGGTAGTCTCATGTTAGCAAATTACAAATATTTTATTCGTGTGTTAATAATTAAAATTATGAAATCCAGACTAACGCGTTTCTCACTTATATTTCTAAATGGTCTGGGACTATTTTAGGACAAATTCAAAAACAGTAACAATAATAAAATTATTATTTTTCCGCTTTCGCACTTCATTGTCTTATAAATGTCTATAAACTCACTTCAGGTGCAACTGTGGGAATATAACAGTTCATACTTCTATTGCTCTGGATCAATCATTGGAAAACGTTGGATATTAACTGCAGGTCATTGCGTGGACGAGTACGTAAACATTTAAATTGCTGACGCTACAATAGGCAGTTTTTGGGCCACTTTATGAGACTACAATAATACTGCAATGATACTTAGTTTAATAATAATACTTACAATAGAATAATACTTAGTTTTCATTCTTAATTTGATAAGCTTTTCGAGGAGGAAACCCTTATGACATAAATACCTTTAAATCAATAAAAATGATAAAATGTGGGCTTAAATGGACCGTACAGAAAGAAGCATGTAATATGGCAAATAAATCAGCTAAGAACATTTTTTTTTCTGGTTCAAAAACAACTTTGACTTTGTCAAATCTTCCCTTTTATCTGGTCCAAAAGCGCCTTAATAATTTGCCGAGTAAGTGGCTTAACTTCGACCATTTCAGAGATGCGAATGCAGTTCGATACGGAACAATAAAATTTGGCAAAAAAGAGTTCGATCCCAACTACGATGCAAAAATAATAAAGCAGTACCGTCATCCAGAGTTTGAAGACTGGTTAGAGGTCTTGTCCCCTACTTCTATTAAATGGCATTTTGCGAACGACATTGGTCTCTTCGAAGTAAGCATATTTGATTTGAATGCTGAGGAATCGCGTATATTCAAATTCTAGCTAGAAGAAGATTTACCATACGGACCCAACGTCCAACCTATTGCTCTCCCCGAACAAGATGCTGTCGTTCCCTTCAACGCTACCGCAACATTAATTGGTTGGGGCTACGTTAATGCAAATCACGATTTTCCGGAAGTGCTACAAAAAATTGATCAAACAATTTTCGACAATACGTATTGCGATTCACGTTTCACAGATAACGACCCCTACAATGGCACTCAGATGTTGTGCGCAGGAGATATACAGGATCGTACAGGAGAGTGCAATGTAAGGAAATGTAAAAAAAAATCGAGTGAAACACAATATCGCGATCAAGTGTCAGTCCTGATGTCCACGATAGAGTGTCTCAATTAACTTATTTTCAATCCTTAGACAAATTACTACAACACAGGGAGATTTCGTTATTTTTTCAGGGCGATAGCGGTGGATCAATCGTAGTTGACAATGTACAAATCGGCATATCTTCATGGTCTAACAAACCCTGCATATCAGGTCCCGGAGTCTTTACGAGGATCTCTGTTTACCGAGATTGGATAAGAAATGTATCTGGAATTTAAAAAAAAAATAATAAAGGTGTTTTTATGAAACTGCTATGTTAATTTGCTACCTCATCATCATCAAATACCACATAAACTTCATGAAATGATTTAGGCCAGTTTAAAGCTGCTATCCTAGAATTACATGAGTGATTGTTTGATTAAATAGCAAAGCAAGGCGTACTGCGCGGTTCGATTATTTCTCCATTATTGTTCTCCATTTGCACCTCTGACCTGTGACATTTTAAAGACTTCCAAAAGTCATTCAAAAAAGACGTGCATTTAATTTTACAAAATGATAATTTTCAGAAAATCTTGACCTAATGATGGATATTGATTTGAGATTAATCATATGAAAAGCTTGCGTAGTTTTAAAATTGCTCTATCTGTATAGGAACCTCCGTAATACAAAACAAAAGTTATTCTTTCAGATTATTTGGTTCATAGCAATTTCAACTATTGTATTACATTTGCATTGCTATATACTGACCACGTATTGCTCAGATATATTATTTAAATAAACATAAAAAATAAAAAATTTAGGTAGTCAATTGATTAAACAGATCTAAAATCTCCAGTCACCTTCCTTTTGCAGATCTCATTACATGTTTAAAATTGTATTGTTTATAGTTACAGACTTGCAGTATATGTCCATTTTGAACGACGCAACAGATCTAATTCCTAAAACTAATCGAAACTAATCAACCAATTGCAATGAAAGGCAACTTGAAATGGCACGAATAATTTTGAAGCAATCGAGTTGTAGCAAGGCGAATTCGTTGGCAACGTGGTTATAGCAGTTGATTGCTAAGTATTCCAAAACAACAATACTGCATAATGAATTAGAAATCAATAGAGCAAATTTGAAAACCTCGATAAGGATGTATACACAGAACAGTGCCCCCTGAAACACTATCGCTAATGAAGTTTGAAAACGCGCCGCGCGTGGGAACAATCAGGTGCTAACTGTATACCTAACCATGTCTGCCTAGAAAAACAAGGAAAAAATTTGTTCCTCGTTTTCCCGATATGAGAGTAGGAAGTGACGTTTGTTGGTGTTATTGAAAACATAAAATTGGAGTAGTATCTTTTGATTTTGATGGTCAATTTCCTAGACGTATTACCAAAATCGCGTCAACAACAGATTGTCCCTTAAGTTTAAATCAAGCAATCTGAATTTATTGATAAGATTATTTAAACGACCGGCAAACCATTCGAACAGTCAGTTGCAGGTATCGTTTAATCATGGCCCTTTCAGCAGTCGTTATTTTTTTTGTGCTTGCTAGTGCATATGCGATTCGTAAGTTTTCTCTTAATAGTTCAAATTAACTTTACACATAACTGCTAACAAAAATATTTCTAAATATTTGCAGCAGCCCCAAGGGTTGTGGGCGGTGTGAATGCCACCGAGGGGGAATTTCCGTTTATGGTAAGCATCGCATTTATTTATTAAAACAGTTTCATTATTGGTGTCTGTTTCATAAGTCCAACTTTTCCATTATATAGGTAGTCACGTGCCACTTTCAAATAACCCTGAACTATAATTTGAAAGTGAGACTGTGGAAAGAGATTGCTTTACCTTGGCAAGGATAAACAAAACGGTATTGAAAAAATGTTAATACGCTCTTTGGGTCGCGTATAAATTTCGTACCATTCCTGAATTATTGTATTATGACTGGAAAATCAACATCGAGTGCCATTCACTCATTTCTTACTCATGTGATTTTCTATGATCTTCACAAGGCGTTCAACTGCAATGGTCATGTCATGCGAGAACGAATGATAAGGTGCGGAGTTTGTACAGTGACATGTTGTACATTCTCATCTTTTCTCACAGATAGAAGGGAATTGGTGCAGATGAGTGATTCAGATGGTAGATCAGTTCAATCAAAAGATCTGAATGCCAGCGTAGTTCCACAGAGATTAATGGGACGTTCTTTTTATTATATTTTTAAATCCTCTGTTGAGTGAAACTATTCACAACGTTCTCACAGCATATGCTGAGAATTCAGCCGTTTTAAAATCTTTAAACGTCTGTTCAAACGACAAAGCTACAAACGCAGCTATAAAAGAATTTAGTAATTGACTTAACAGATATGTCCTTCTTTAATCTAAATAAAACTCATTTCATAGTTTTTCATACTGCACAAACACAAATAACTCTATATATTTGACTGTGAAAACGCAAAACTTGTTAGACAAAATTATGTTAAATTCAGAAGCAAAGTAACTATTGACGATACTCTTTTTGTCTTGATGTTGTCTCCCAAACTTTCTAAACTAAAGTCTTTTCTAGAGATAAATCATCAAACTTCTAATTTTAGCTATGCCCTCAATTGCAATTTTTAGGAAATGCGTATTTATGTGTTTAATAATAATTCCTCTTTTAAAAAATAAGTCGTATCAAAGTTATAAATAATATAAGTGAATAAAACTATAATTTGAATTGCAAAAAAATATACTCAATACGTACATCAAAACCTTTTTTATTGAATTTAGGACCACAGCTGTTTATTAAGCTACCATAACAAGTTCAAAATAATAAAACAGGGAAACATTTTTAGTTGAAAAATGTTTTTATAATATTAATACTTTTTAGATTATAATTGTAAATTTGGGTGTTATAAATCAATATTTAATATAACTGAAATCTTTTTTGAGTCCACATATATGAAATATTAAAGATTTATTTAGTTAGTTAGTTACGATATTAGATATGCTGAGATATAGAGGAATAATAAGATAGTAAGAATAAGATGTTGGTGCCTCAATTTAATTAAGCAACGGTATCATATTTTGTTTAATGTACATTACTCTTATTAAGGTATTATTTGAAAAAAACTCGAAAATAATTTATAATAATCCAACGATAATAATATTCGGAATTATTATTTCTTTGAAGTTTCGCCCTTATGATTATTACTAAACGCTTATTATTCATAGATATTCATATACTCTTTTAGATTTAATAATAACAAGTGAAGACCCCTATGTAACAGCCTCCGACACATTGCCTGTACCGGTATTATCAGATTGTGATTGTGAATTTGTCGTCCCTAAGCTTCAACGAAAGCCCATTATGACACAGTATCGTGGATATAGAGCTTTGGATGCTCGTCAGTTTTGGGCAGATCTCCAGTCCACACTGTGGGGCAACATTTTTCATTTAGAAAATATAAATGATAAAGTAATCTTTTCTAATAATAATAATGTCTCGCTATTAGATTTATATGCTCCATTGAGGAGGGGCCGATTTACGAGACGCTACAAGAAAACTAGAATCCCTCAGCATTGGGACTTTTATAAAAGTTTTAGAAATTTTACAACTTTAACGATACGCAGAGAAAAAAAAGTTTCTTTTCAATCTCAATTTCAAAATAACGCAAATATTTGGAATAATTTAAGAAAGTTTGAAGTCTGTAACTTTAAGCCAAAGATCGAACTTCCTAGAATTCTCAGCAACCCGAACGAGCTCAATAACTTTTTTGTAATTAGTGTGGATGTTCAATCACCCACTAGTGATGAATTTCTGAATTTCTATAATCAAAACATTTCTGAAACTGTAACATCTATTTTAACGTTTAAGGAAATTAATGAAACTCAGATACTCAGTATTATTACAGCAATGAAGTCCAGATCGGAGGATGCTGACGGTATTGGAATAATGGCTTTACAGCTTTGATGTCCATTCATTCTAGCTTTCCTCACTCATGTTAATAATTTTTGTATAGTAAACTCAGTCTTTACGGAATGCTGGAAAAGAGGTCTAGTATCGCCATTGCCTAAAATTTCCAACCCCAAAAGTTACAAAGATTTTCACCCAATTAGTGTTTTACCGTGCTTGTCGAAGATACTAGAGAAATGCATAAAGATCCAGTTTTTCAACAACATTCTTCCTGAAATTCAGGCTTCAGAAAAACTGATAGTTGCGCTACAGTACTAATTAATGTAACAGACGATATATTTAGAGCAGCATTCGAGGGTAATCTCACGGCGTTGGCTTTATTGGATTTCTCGAAAGTATTCTATATGATAGATCATAAATTGCTTCTGGCAATTCTGCATTATGTCGGTCCTAGTAACACATCGATATTTTTTTTTCTAACTTTTTATCAAGTAGATCCCAGCGTATCAGAATCGGATCTGTATTATCAAAACCACTCCTTCGAGGTGTTCCGCAATAATCAATTCTTTCCCCATTGCTTTATGCTGTACTATACATCGGATCTTCCAAAGGCACTAAAAAGTGTTTAGCGCAATTTTAAGCCGACGACACGCAGGTGTATCTGTCGTTTAGTAGGGGGAGCGTCGGGGAGAGCTGTGGAATATTGAGTACGTAGCTGAATGCACTGAAAGAATTGTCTTTAAAGCACTCCCTCCTTCTTAATCCCCAAAAATGTTGTTGATTATTATTAGGACGTAAATTAGATATTGCCAGTGCAAAGGACAATATAAGGGTTAAAATCGGGGATACTGTGTTGCCCATAAAGGAGACTGTGCTTAATCTCAGCTTAGTATTTGATGGTTCTCTTAGATTTACCGCTCATATAATAAGAAAAAAACATGTATATAGTAATCGTCACTTTATATCAAAAAAAGGTAAAGACTTTACTTTGCGACTCCCTCGTACTATCCGTATTCAATTACTGTGATGTCGTTTACACAAATTGTTTAAACAGTTCTGATAAAAGAAAAACTCAGTTAATTCAAAATTCATATCTTAGACTTATTTATGGAATAAGGAACTACCAGCCAAATTCACAAAACAAAACACAAAGAGGAGGAGAGAATTACACTCTGCTTGCTATTTTCATAAAATTACAAACTTCAAATGCCCTACGTACTTATATAGACGTATTGTATTCAGAACACATGTGCATAATTGAAATAGCAGGTTTAGGGTAAAGATCACTCCACCATCGAATAGGACGGCAATGTTTGGGCATAGTGTAACCGTTAACATTGCCCGACTTTTTAACTCACTTCCAGACGCATTCCAGGCATTGTCTGTCTCCAATTTTAAAAGAAAATATAAAAATTATATTTGGCAACGCATACATGCTACTTCGTTTTCTGCAACATATAGAGCTTTTTATTTATTTATATAAGTTTTTCTAAATTTCTTGCTTATATCACTTTCAGTTTTTTTTCTTTTTTTTTATGTATTATAGGTACACTTCGTGGCCTAGGTTAAGTTTATAAATTAATTTATTTCCTACTTTGTTAAGGGCAGGGAGTTACTCCTGTGACTTTGTTTACTTACTTCTCGCTATTCATTTGTAAAATTTATGTTCGAAAATAAATATATTATTATTATTATTATTATTATTATATTCCTAGGTGCAACTCAGAGAATATAACAGTACGGTGTTCGATTGTTGTGGAACCATCATTGGGAAACGCTGGATCTTAACTGCAGGCCACTGCGTGGATGAGTAGGTGTCACCCAAGAAATTATTTTCGAAAAGCTTTAGCCCACTGCCCGTTTATCTCAACAAATTAACTTTTAAATCCTGGAAGTAATTTACGGTTTTTTGGTACATTTGCACTGAAAACTCCTATTTTTGAAATATCTGAATATCACTTTGCCGTACGTATTTCAGTGAATTAACGGTTCGTTACGGCACAATCCACTTTGGCCAAGAAAGTTTCGATCCCGAGTACGACATAAAAGTTAAAAACGTGTATCCCCATCCAGAATTCGAGAATTATGATGAAGTTACGTGGACGTCGATAATATGGCATTTCTCGAACGATATCGCACTCTTTGAGGTAACCATTAACGAATCCCTTTCGCGCTAGGTAATTATCTAGTTATCTTTCCTATAGCTCGAAAAAGATTTGCCCTACGGTCCCAATGTTCAACCAGTTGCCCTTCCAGAGCAAGACGCACCGGTGCCTGTTAATGCCACCGGAACACTAATCGGCTGGGGATATGTTGACAGTCGCTTCGATCTTCCCGATACTCTTCAAAAGGTCGACCAAACCATCTTCGACAACACGTACTGTGAAAGCCGCTTCAAAAAAGACGATCCTTTCAACGGCACCCAAATGTTATGCGGAGGTGACCTTGAAGATAAAACAGGACAGTGCAATGTAAGCATTAATTTAGTTTCCATTTGAATTGAATGATCAGTATTTTATTGAGTCTTTATAAAAAAGTCTCAGGAATCAACAACATTTGTGAATGCTTTTCAATCTACTGTTGGTCTTACATAGTGGTGCTAACCAATAACTGTTATATTTAAGTCTCTAGCTCATGCTCGAAAGGAAAGGAAAATAAATATTACTATTTACACCACTGCAGGATACTTCCTGCTTCGGTTGTTGTCGTTTAGCCAATCATCCTGTTGGCTTCTTCAGAATTGCAGGAAGCATGCAAGTTCAATTATTTATTACAGTAGCGTCTGGAAGTTTCATTAAACAATTAAAAGACGTTTGTATATAAACTATTTATTACGCGTCTTAGTCATTGTACCATTAGGTACCATTCTTTTGTACGCATAGAATAATATAACAGCTGTTGAGATTTCAAGTTTCGTAGTACAAAATCACGCGTTTATATTTTGCACCATAACTGTAGCCAAATCTTGAAGAGTGAAGATTAAGGGTTTGCTATTTGGTAATTACAGAATGAAACATGCACTTTCTTCAAAACTTCGAGATTATAAAGCTTGCCTAGCCGTTTTTCCAATATTCGCGTTTAAGTTTTAGGTTTAGGTGAAATTATTAAAACTTAGACAAAATTTGTATAGCTATTATATAAATATGAATTAATTTGCATGACATTTATATGACTTTTTATTCTATGAATGACTTCTAAAGAATGGCCTATAAAAAAATTCAAATTATTTCTTTATAAATTATATATAACTTTTGTATTTTTAGAATCATAAAGAACAATTCTTTTGGAATATATTAAAATAACCTGGAGTCATACGGAGTATACAGTAGGTCGGATCAAAAAATAAAATATTATCTTATTAAAAATATGTCTGGAGATTTCTTTTACCACTATCAATATCCTTAAGTATATTAGTAGCCAGTAGCAAATATTAAATATCATCTGCTTATATCGCTAACTTGGTAACGACTAAGTGATTGTGACTTAGTATCAGTTTCCTTTTCAGTTTTTGATCTGAAGTGCAATTGAAACTCCAGTTTAAATACCTGATGACAATTGATTACCTATTTGTTTTTTAGGGTGACAGTGGCGGACCACTCATAGTTGATGATGTGCAAATTGGCATAGTTTCATGGTCAGACAAGCCATGTATCACGGGTCCGGGTGCGTTTACGAGAATTTCGATTTATCGTGATTGGATTAGAAATGTAACGGGCATTTGAAGAATAAAATAGATATATGTCATAAGAAAGCCGTTGTTTTACTCAACCGATGCATTAAATCAATGTCTCTCGTCGAAGAATGCGAGCGTAATGATCTAATATGATTTAAATAGATCTGTCTTTCCGATGTGGAAATCAAGCGAGGAGTTAGACAAGGGTGTGTTCTTTCACCACTCGTCTTCAACGTCTACTCAGAGGAAATCTTCAGCAAAGCCCTCGAAAATGATACCGCTGGGATAAGAAATAACGGCATTCCACTGAACAACCTGCGTTACGCTTATGATACAGTACTTCTCGCCGAAAACATGCAAGACCTGCAGAATGTGTTAAATAATGTCGTCAAGACTAGTCGAGAATATGGTCTGGCACTCAATGTTAAGAAGACCAAGTACATGATTGTCACCAAAACGAAAGTGCTCCATGAACATCTGAATGTTGAAAACCAAAAGCTGGACAGAGTCGAGAGATATGATTACCTGGGTACGAGTGTCGACTGCAATGTGGATTATTCTTCGGAAATAAAGATCCGCATTGAGAAAGCCCGTGCAGCCTTTGTGAAGATAAAGAAGCTGCTCTGTAGTCGCGATTTGAGCCTAGATCTGAGAACTCGAATGCTCAAGTGTTATGTATTCCCGGTCCGTTTGTATGGTGTGGAAGCTTGGACCCGCAACCTGTTTTGTGAGCGGAAACTTGAAGCCTTCGAGATGTGGGCATACCGTAGCATGCTGAGAATACCATGGACGGAACATGTGACCAACGTGGAGGTTCTGAGAAGAATGAAGAAAGGGGTAGAGATCCTACAGGAAGTGAAAGAAAGGAAATTGCAATATCTCGGCCACATCATGAGAGGACCAAAGTATGAAATTTTACAACTCATAATCCAAAATCAAAATAGCAATGATGAGAGCCAACCTCCGAAGTGGAGACGGTACATGAAGAAGAAGAAGAGTCTTTCCGATAAGAGGTCCCAGCATCTAAACAGGGATAATACACAATATTGTAGGACAATACATCTTTAGCGCTACATGATCCAAAAACTTTATATTCTCATCAATATATAGACCCAGATTTTTAACAGACTACAACATGAATAGGTTCATTTCAGTTTTCATATAAACTTTGCATTTAATTAGTGTATTGCCCTGAGTTGCTTTGCCAGCTGAACTTCCATATTCCACCTGTATTTTACCTAGTAACTCCAGAACCATTTTTTTTTATTAAAGGTGTTCTCTATCAGTTGTTGAAATTATTTAATGACTTCTGTGATGATATTGACGTTTTGTATCTTAGTCGCTCACAGTTAAACACATTAATTATACGTAAATTTCAAATATTATAATTGCTAATTACTTTGCTGGAGTGTATATAGTTGACTACTTATTATAGTTATAGTTATAGTTCTCAAGATGAAATTGTCTTCTAAATTTATTTTAATCTGTTAGACAATAAAGGTTATTATTATTATTATTATTATTATTATTATTATCATTATTATTAAATGACCTCTATTGCTGGCATACATATAGATTTGCCATCTCTAATGTGATTCTTTTCAACCCCATGGCACCAAATTTTATTTCTAATACGCTTTCGGTAATATAAGAAATTTCATTTGACTTTGTTATAAGAGCTTCAGCAATATTTTGCGTTACAAAATCGACCTTATCATTGTGCTAGGGAACATAGTGCAAGTAAATATAGAACTCCTCAATGTTTTAGGTCCCTATAAGTAAGTGCTACGTTTAGAACATTGAAAATATTTTCACACACATACAAGATGATGATCAGATATGTGGCCTACATTCAAGGGGGGATAGGGGATGGGTAGATTAAAGTTTCAGAATATTCATTTAATATTTGCTCTAAACCATGAGCACTGACTGACTGATGTAATTGTTTAAGTTCAAAAAAATTACGTTCATATCTTAAAGAATGAGAATATTGTTGAACGACGGGGCAACAAATAATATTATTTTACCAATATCGATGTGCGACTAAAAGACGTTTTTAACCATATATATATATATATATATATATATATATATATATATATATATATATATATATATATATATATATATATATATATATACATATTGTCACTTTCACACTTGCACATTATTTTACCAATATCGATGTGCGACTAAAAGACGTTTTTAACCATATATATATATATATATATATATATATATATATATATATATATATATATATATATATATATATATATATATATATATATATATATATACATATTGTCACTTTCACACTTGCACATTGTAAATGGCTCCTGATAAAAACACCAACACCTCCCCCAAGGCCTTGCCTAAAAAGAATCTAAAAGCCCACCACTATTCAAAGCAGAAAGTTATTAATTACAATTAAACACCGGATATTCCGAACTCCTCGCTATGTGTACTTTCTAAATGTCTTATTATAATTTATACAATATATACATGCGGATTAATCCCCACTGTAATCGTTAAACTTATGATTTTTGGTGCACTTGCAACTATATAAAAGTTTTTTTTTAGCCATTTCATTATATAAATTGGCGGTTCTGTCAACTTGACGCCAAACGGAAAAGTATTTACATTTTTTATTGACCGTTGCTGCGTCTCGTAGTATTGAATGACAGATTTTTGTGAATCATTAGTATATTCTAGCTCCGATAGCAGTTTGTCTAAAAGAACCTTTTTACGATGTAAACATTCTATTTCTTTAGGCGGAATTTCTGAGTTTGAACACCCGCTATTGTCCTTTGTAAATTTCGATTCAGTTTCACAAGAAAAACCAGAAAATATTCACATTTTCATTGATGAAATTTACCCACGAATCTTTCACGCTTACTGTGAGTGGAACAGTTTTTACACAAATCGCACTTGAAACAAGAAAGTTGACGGAGCAACTGCCGCCCACGTCCACATCGTGTGCCATCATATCGTCGAAATTAAATTTGAAAGCCGTACAATAACTGTAATTGAGCCACCCCTTTATATTTAAAGACATCGAAAGGTTGTAAAGTGCTATTTGATAAGTGGTACGATGTTGCCAGGTGCCATGCACCAGTAAATAATCTAAATAAATAAGAACTAAAAGTTCAGATTTTCAAGAAATTATATATTATGACATGACAATTGTTTCGACAACACCGTGTTTTTATCAAATGTAATATTTACAAACTACCTGCTACTATATATACCGAAAAATTGACCATAAAACCACAATTAATGTTGTTGCGAGAATTTAAGTTCCATGGCTTCCAATAAATTTAATTTTCTACTTTTTGTGGCTGTGTGTAATATATCAAAATTGTCGGCAAAAATGTGTTTTTCTGTATTTAAGTGTGTAGCATAATTAGAATCTAGACTATTGTTTTTAAACGCTCTTATATGTTCGTTAATGCGTTTCTTGAAGAATCTACCTGTTTGTCCAATATAAATTTTAGTACAAGATCCACATTTCAACCTGTAGACACCTGATTTTTGGGATTTTGGACATTTCCATTTATTGTTTTTTAAATATTTTCCTATTGTGTTGTTAGTTCTGAAAGCTATTTTTAAACCACACTTTGACAAATGTTTTGAAACTTTTTCGCTAGGTTCTCCTATGTATGTAATTGTTTTAAATTGTTCGTGTTCTGTATTTGGTTTCGGATAAATAGAGTTTGCTGTTGCCTGTATTTGTTTTTTATTTATAATTTTATCTATAATGGACGGATTGTACCCATTGTTCAGTGCCATTTGTTTAATGATATTAAGTTCTTTGTTGTAATTTTTTTTAGTTAAATTAATAAATTAGTAAATATTTTAAAGGTCCACACAGATGTTAAACCAAAATTTGCAATAAAAAATTCTTTTGAATTAATCAACAAAATTAAAGATATCAAAATCCCTTCTAACGCAACTCTATTGTCTTTTGATGTATAAAACTTATTTCCCAGTATTCCACCTATGGATGTGATACATTTAGTAGATTTTACCATAACTCGGTAACAGGTTAACCCATTGGTGAATCAAGATTTATTAGATTGCTTAATACTATCTTTAGACCAAAATTATTTTGAATTTAATGGACAGATTTATATCTCTAAAGAAGGTTTGATTATGGGAAACCCACTTAGTCCTTTGTTAGCCGAGATTTTTATGGATAATTTGGAAAATATCATACTAGAACATCCTTTAAGTAAAAGTTTTTTATGGTGGTATAGATATGTGGACGATGTCTTTGCTTGCTTTGTTGGAACGGACAGACAAATGAATTCTTTTTTAAATTACATTAAGTCAATACATAATCGTATAAAATTCACTATCGAGATTGAACAGTATAACTCTATTAATTTTTTAGACTTAACTATTACGAAAGTGCAAAACAAATTAGATTTTTTAATATATCGTAAACCTTCACACACGGACACAGTTATACATAACAGCTCAAATCACCCTTATACACACAAAATGGCTGCATTTAACTCTTTTATACACAGACTTCTTAATACGCCACTCTCAACAGAAAATTACAACAAAGAACTTAATATCATTAAACAAATAGCACTGAACAACGGCTACAATTCGTCCATTATAGATAAAATTATAAATAAAAAACAAATACAGACAACAGTAAACTCTATTTATCCGAAACCAAATACAGATCACGAACAATTTAAAACAATTACATACATAGGAGGACCTATCGAAAAAGTTTCAAAACATTTGTCAAAATGTGGTGTAAAAATAGCTTTCAGAACTAACAACACAATAGCAAAATATTTAAAAAACAATAAATCGAAATGTCCAAAATCCCAAAAATCAGGTGTCTACAGGTTGAAATGTGGATCTTGTCCTAACATATATATTGGACAAACAGGTTTATTCTTCAAGAAACGCATTAACGATCATATTAGAGCGTTTAAAAACAATAGTCTAGATTCTAATTATGCTACACACTTAATCACAGAAAAACACATTTTTGACGACAATTTTGATATATTACACACAGCCACAAAAAGTAGAAAATTAAATTTATTAGAAGCCATGGAGATTAACAAAATGAGACATTCAAATGTATTGCTTAACGATCAATTAGATTTAAATACCTCTCCTTTATTGAACTTAAATTCTCGCAACAACATTAATTAAGGTTTTATGGTCATTTTTCGATATATATAGTAGCAGGTAGTTTGTAAATATTACATTTCATAAAGACACGGTGTTGTCAAAACAATTGTGATGTCATAATATATGAAAATCTAAACTTTTAGTTCTTATTTGTTTTGATAAATGGATTTTCATCAAGTAAAAGCCACCTCAGTTCAATTTTAGTAAATAATCTGTCAAAATCTGAAAATTGCTCTAATTTACTTGTCAAATGGATTTTCATTAAGTAAAAGTCACCTCAGTTCAATTTATGAGATCTTGAATTAAATCAACCCTAAATAAATAAAAATGGTATTCTAGGTACAAGGAAATTATTACTTGTGAAAATAATTATCCTGTATTATAAACAATATAATATTTTAAAAGGATAAGTAAATCCAAACAAGTTTTATTTCTATAAAGTGAACACTTGTACAGAGTAAAGCAAAAGAAAAAATGTACTCTAGTGATGTGAAATATATGCGACCGCAGCAGCAACCTGTTCTTGTATCTACGACACTATAAATAATTAATAAAAAAGACACTAGTTTTAGCTAGCAGGACAACTATGATTCTAGAATAAAATCGATTTTGTTTTTGACGTTATTCCTTCAAAAGAAAATGCAATTTAAGTCACAAAGTAAATGCGTAAACATCACTGACACAGGAAAAAATCACACAATTTGTAACAATAAAGAATTTATTTTAAGTGCAATAAGAAGATTCGGGAAATATGGACTTAAAGTTTTGTCAAATCTTTAGCAAATTCTTGTTTTCTGAAGACATTATAATCTCTAATGGCATAGTACAAGACAAAACGGGTTTTTGGGTAAAAAGACTTCGCAAACATCAGCGATGTATTTATGTCATCTCATGCATTCGATCATGTTGTTCATGATTAACTAGCAACCAGTAAAGATTCATTAAGTATACTCAATTGAAATGGATATTCCAAGGGCTCCATATAGGGTCCAGCGTTATTCCTACAATAAGTAAATTATTTGAACATTTGCTTTGAAAAGAGTGCTAACCTAAACTGCTGATAATTCGCTATATCTAAATTCAGCAAAAAGTACGTATGAATAAGTTTTTCTCGCGCAAAATAAAATACGTAGCTGCATAATTGCATACATTTTTAAAAAGTCATTCCGATTCTTTGAGTATCTATTGGTCATTTTCCAATAATGTCGACTTAAGGTTCAAGAAAATTTCAATAGCTTTAAGCATTGTTCCAAAGTTAATTTTCATTTTTTCGATTTTAGTGTCAGAAATAATGTCGATTGTAAGGTTTAATTCGTTATGGAAATTTTGGAAATCGGTTACACTTACATCAGTTAACTGATGAAACAATCAATCTACGTCGCGTCATTAACAAACGTGTATTTTATCAGTTAGGTTTTTGATACGATGCTTTAGTTATGATTAGCAGCGCATGTATTTTTTATTATGTAGATTTTTTAAAATGAAATAAAACTTTTTAAATACAAACTTGACTATCGCTGATGAGAAAAAACTTTTGGTCTTGTCTCTCAAAGTTAGAGGTTTTGAAACCATTTCATATAGTTTTTGAAATATTGTTATCGGAAAAAAACCAAGAATTCTAAATATTGAAGATACTTTCATTCACTCGTTGGGCTGGTGTGTGGTTAGAGGTACATACAATTGAATCGAACTTCGACATTAAAAATATAGCAGATCTACGCGTTATTCGAATTTGTCCCGTTTTACGGTATCGATCAATCGATCAGGTAGCTCGACTTTATAAGTTCAAAGAAATGCTGCGATTGCAATCGAAATTGGAACATTTTAGACGAACTTAAGTGCAGATAATCGGCGAGACTACATTTTTCACTAGATAAGAAGCAATATTTAAAAATGGAACCCATTCGCACCATGTTCAGTTAAAAAAGTCACCAAACAAAGGCGGTCAAGTATGCTGTATAATATATTTGCCTTGTTAGCGTTGGCATTGCCTGCCACCATCCAAGCAGCTCGTAAGTAAACGGCAATTGTGAAGTGAGAAAACTTGATTTTTCTTCTTTTAATTATCATTAGATTTTTTTGTTTTTAATTTCTAAATTGAGAATCGCAAGATGTATTGAAAGTACTTCCCAATTTAAATTAAGAGAAATATGCTAATATTAATTTCTGATAAGACACATGGTACCTACCTTAGTACTTAAACTTTTTGTATTATCGCGAAAATAACTTATCTATTGAAAAAAATATTAAAGGTCTTCCTGGTTAATATGTTTCAAATTTATCAGAAACAAATTATGTACAGGGTCGTTACTGGAGTGCTTTACTATTTCTAAACTAGATATGATAAAGTCGACTTCACAGATATAAGGCATTTTTTACCATTTTCAAATCTTCTGGAATCTTCCTGTGGGGGTTAATGATGAACTAAAGTTGCTGGCATTTCGCCACAGTAGCCTGTGGAAGTTTCCTTGAAAAATAAGGAATTTTTTGTTTGTGTATGTATAAGCAGACCGGACAGCTATGTCGATGTCAATTAAATGCATCACAGATGATGCTTTTCTTATATCATACTGTTACAAAGAAAATGAATAATACTGTCAATACTATTTCTTTGTTTTAGCTGCTGCTGGCAGAATTGTCAATGGAACAAACGCCACTCAGGGTGAATTTCCTTATATGGTAAGTCCAGAATTGTTCACTACAGGTATTTGTTGTGCTTAAAACAATTGTTTGTGAGTATCATGCAACATGAGTCATGCAAAATTAATATCAACAAAACGATTATGATAAATTTTCATAACTCCATTCCAATTTAAACATTTGCTTTGGAATAATATGTTACCAATAAAAACTATTTATTCGTTATGTAATGTAATGTGTCGAAATCAAAATCTTGGACATTTGGTTAGTAAAAACGATGGAAATTATAATTACATTAAAATGCATCATCTGACGGGAAGAAGCAAAGTTTTGTTTTAAAAATTTTCTTGACAAATTTGTAAAGCAAGTACTCATTGCACCACATGTCTTTAAGTAAACAAGTACTTCTTTCATAAAATAAGACACCAGAACATTTACCGAAGTGAGAAAAAAGTTGCGCGTAGTCTGCACATTTGATTATTTTTTCAGGTATCGATCAGGCTCTATGACGGCACTTATCACGAGTGCGGCGGTTCTATCATTGGACCAAGATGGATATTGACTGCTGGACATTGCATCGACGAGTAAGTTTTTCATTTATCAGTCTCCATTCATTTCTGTCATTCAAGCTCTCTTGAACAGGGATATCTCTTCCGTACGATACGGAACAATTGTTCTGCATGATGGAAGTTATGAGGCGCAATACGACATTAAAGTAGCCAAGCAACATTTGCATCCAGATTTCATCAACAGATACAACGCTGCGAACGAATGGCTTTTTGCGAATGATATTGCTTTACTGGAGGTACTTAACACTATATTTAAATATTAGTTGGTATTCATTCTTTGTACTCGGTTTACAGTTGGTGCAGGACTTGCCATATGGACCTAACGTTCAGCCTCTCAGGTTGCCGGAACAAGAAGCTGCCACACCAATAAACAAAACTGCCACCCTTACTGGCTGGGGCTACACAGACGCGTTCTATCATGAACCACTTACTCTTCAGAAAGTGAACTTAACTGTTTACCCATACAACTACTGCGATCGGTACTTGACCGCACCCTTCGACCCCGTGCAAAACTTATGCGCAGGAGTTTTAGCTAACGATGAGGGACAATGCAACGTAAGTTCCTTGTCTATAATACTTAACATACTATGGAGCACACCAAATGAGTTGAAATTTGGTAACCGAGTAATGTCTTATACAAATTCAGTCCTTCGGATCCATTATGTCCGCATATCGGTGTTGTGTTATCAAGATGTGGAATTATCCTCCGCAATTGAACCATCAAATTTCTTGATTTTAGGGTGACAGCGGTGGTCCATTGGTGGTGGATGGCGTCCAGGCGGGTGTGGTTTCATGGTCAGTGAAACCCTGCATTTCAGCACCTGGGGTATTTACCAGGGTATCTCACTTCAGGGATTGGATCAAGAGTGTATCCGGAATCTAAAAAAATCGATATTTGATAAAATTGTATGATTTTTTTTAATACACGTAATTTGTTCACTGTTCACTGTAAAATTCACTGTAATAAATTTCTGTTAAAACGCATTTTTTGAAATATTCTTTAAGGAATTCAATTAATGTCAAATGATTAAAAATTTGAAATTAACAAAATTCACTTTTTTTCAAATGTAAGGAAAGTTAATAAATCAAAAGCAAAATACTCAAGCGTGCGGAATTTAACGAAAGCAATGTGATGCATTGCATTACATTACAATAGATATTTTATCCGGAACGCGCGTTTTGCAGAAGAAGAATTTAAATTTTTCTCATCTACCATATTTAAATGGATACGTAGTATACTAAAAAATGGAACCTTCACCACGTCCATAGGGGAATAGGTAGTCAGATTCAGGAAAGCCAGAGGTTGTCCTCAAGGCAGATTGTTCTCCCCTCTTCTGTGGACACCACTGGTGGCCAGCCGAATGGTTAGCCTCTCACCGTGGGAAGTACAAAGTAAAAACGATAGCTAATATCATCCTCCAAGTATCTTTGGATACTATAAATAAATAAATCCCACGAAACTAGAAAACTTCGTTATATTTAACAAAATATTGTCTTGTCATTTTTCAAAACATGTCTTCCTGTGATTTTAGTTAACAAATATCGAATATTAAATTGTCTATGTAAAACTGTTTTGTTCAGTAGCTTTTGATGTATCGCCACTCTAGAGAAATTTCTAGAGAAAACAGTTATAATCACAATAACAAAAACAACAAATTGCGGAAATATCAAATATCTTGTAAATTTTAATAGTTTTCAAAAATTATATGTGAAAAAAATTATTCAACTAAAACATCCACATCCGCATCCATTTGAAAAATTTATTCATATCACAAATAATACACGAAAAATAAGCTTGTGCAAAAGATTTGACAAAATTTCGCTATATCCCTATATCCCTATATCAAAGAACGAATTTAAATTTAATTGTTTAACAGTTGTTTTCCTGTATTAAGTTTACTTTCTTAAGCAACGTTTAATTGAGTATGTGTTGTTTTTTATCTTCTTGTGCAAGAGATGATAATATTGGTCATATTCATTAAATAAATAAATAAAAAATTCTCAATCATACTAATCTGTACTTTGCAGTACTTCAATTTACTTTGAATTGATTTTTATTTCTGTTATTTATTTAGTAATTTGTATTGTAATCGGATATGCTCTTTGTTAGACAATGGAAGAGATAATTATTAGTATTATCAACAAAATTGGCGAAAACGCAATTAGTAGATAACTTATCAAGTAACCGGATATTTTAAATTTAAATGAAAGGTAATTTACGTTAGAACAATTTTTTATGAAAACATGAAACTGATTGACAATAACCGCAGAAAGCAGTAGAACCAGCGAAAGCAGTGTTTGGGGAATATTATGGAGTACGTGTCTATGTTAATTGTATCGTTAGCATCGTTAGTGACTCTGGGGCAGGCTGTCCGTACGTATATTACCTATTTCTGGATTATTTAAGCCATAACAATACCTATAACTCTATTTCACAGCTGCGGGGAGAATCGTTAATGGCACAAACGCCACACAGGGCGAATTCCCCTACATGGTAAGTAAAATTTACCTCATTGAGGATGTTGAGGTTTACAGGTTAGTTGATATGCAAATCCTTGATTATTAATTTTTTTATTTTAATTAAATAATATAATAAAAATTTATTATCATTCAATCTGCTTTTCATTAAATATTTAATCGTATGTCGAGCTTGTTCCTCATCAAATTTTACCTTGGGTTTAGCTTTTAAATCCCTATTGATTAGGATATTCCTATAATATAAAATAGAGCGGCAGCCGTTCCATGTTGGCCGTCCCAAATTTGTTTAAAACTCCTTAATTTCGTATTGTCGCGACAAATATCATTGATAATGAAACAATGATATCCGGATACTGAAATTTATCATATAAATTGCTGTGGAAAAGATGCGACACCTACCAAAACTAACTAACTAACCAAAACCAACCAAAACAATTAGACGGGGCCTTTGTTACATTATAAATTACAACGCTACAGAGTATGTTTTTAGGTATGAACCATAATTTACTTTTTTTCAAAATACTCAAATTAGCCCATAAATTTTCAATAAGAAATTCTTATTCAAATAAAAATCTTCTTCTTCTTCGTGTACCGTCTCCACTTCGGTTGGCTATCATCATTGCTATTTTGATTTTGGAAGATGCGGCTTTAAATAGGTTAGATGATGTAACATTAAACCATTTTCGTAGGTTTCTAAGCCAGGATATTCTTCTTCTTCCCATAGATCTTCTTCCCACAATGTTTCCCTGGATTATGAGTGGTAAAATTTCATACTTTGGTCATCTCATGATGTACCCGAGATATTGCAATTTTCTTTCTTTCACTTCCTGTAGGATCTCTACACCTTTTTTCACTCTTCTCAGAACCTCCACGTTGGTCACATGTTCCGTCCATGGTATTCTCAGCATCCTACGGTATACCCACATCTCGAAGGCTTCCAGTTTCCGCTCACGAAACAGGTTGAGAGTCCAAGCTTCCACACCATACAAACGGACCGGGAATACATAACACTTGAGCATTCGAGTTCTCAGATCTAGGCTCAAATCGCGACTACAGAGCAGCTTCTTTATCTTCACAAAGGCTGCACGGGCTTTCTCAATGCGGATCTTTATTTCCGAAGAATAATCCACATTGCAGTCGACACTCGTACCCAGGTAATCATATCTCTCGACTCTGTCCAGCTTTTGGTTTTCAACATACAGATGTTCATGGAGCACTTTCGTTTTGGTGACAATCATGTACTTGGTCTTCTCACCATTGAGTGTCAGACCATATTCTCGACTAGTCTTGACGACATTATTTAACACATTCTGCAGGTCTTGCATGTTTTCGGCGAGAAGTATTGTATCATCCGCGTAACGCAGATTGTTCAGTGGAATGCCGTTAATTCTTATTCCAGCGGTATCATTTTCGAGAGCTTTGGTGAAGATTTCCTCTGAGTAGACCTTGAAGAGGAGTGGTGAAAGAACACACCCTTGTCTAACTCCTCGCTTGATTTCCACTGCTTTTGTCATTTCAGATTTACTATTATTTGTATATCTCTTGTGTCGAGGTTTTTTCGTTCTAGTGCTTCTATTAGCTGCTTGTGTCGCACCCTATCAAAAGCTTTATTATAATCAATAAAACAGGCATATATGTTTTGGTTGACATCAAGACACCGTTGCATCAAGACATTATAGGCAAACAAAGCCTCCCTTGTGCCGAAACCATTTCTAAAACCAAACTGAGTATCTGCTAAATCCTCTTCCAGCTTCTTATAAATCCTGCGGTGGATGACTTTGAGAAAGATCTTCAGTGTGTAGCTCATAAGGCTGATCATACCGTGTTCCTCACATTTTTTGGCATTAGGCTCTTCTTAGGAATTGTGACAAAAGTTGAATGGAGCCATTACTTTGGTATTATTCCTGTTTTATAGATCTTATTAAACAGGGAAGTTACAGCATCTAAGTGTTGTTCTTCAATCAACTTGAGCGCTTCTGCAGGTAGGTTGTCAGGGCCAGGTGCTTTTCCATCTTTGACTGATTTTATTGCTGCTTGTACTTCTTCCTTTAGAATAGATGGTCCAGATTCATTATTAGTGTTGGTAGTTATTTCCTCTCTTTGATCGTTGAAGAGGGTTTTAATGTAGTCTTTCTATAGAATCAGTTGATCTTTAATATCCAACAAATAAAAATAAAAATAAGTATCCCGAATTTTGGCACATTGCGCCCAAAATAAGGGTGATCCCGATTGGTTTACTTCAATAAACTATAAGTAAAGTGACAAGTGCTCTTGATACAAGAATAGCCATTTTAATTAATCGCAGGTTTCCATCAGGATCTACGGGGGCTTCTTCCATGAGTGCGGGGGTTCTATTATTGGACCAAGATGGATTTTAACGGCCGGACATTGCATCGACGAGTAAGATTAAGTTACTATTAATATCGTAAATGTTATAACCGATTTTTGATGCAGAGACGTTTCATCGGTACGATTCGGAACCATTGTTCTTGACGATGATGGATATGAGGCCCAGTACGACATTAAAGTAGCAAATCAATATTTACATCCGAATTTTACCAACGGTTACACCGCATCGGGTGACTGGCTCTTTGCGAACGACATAGCTCTGTTGGAGGTATGTTTTATTTCACTTAAAACTGGAAAAGTCGCAGAATTCTTTATTTTATCGATTTCTTGATGTTTCAAAATTATACACTACTATATTGGAAATCACTATAACAGAAAATAAAAGAATATTCAAAGTTAAGAAGTAATAATTATTTAGTGAATGAGAGAAGGATTGCTTGCTTGCGATATTTCATATCTGACTGCGATGAATCTTGTGCTTAGTAGTATTAATATATTTGCCCATGTATTCGCTTAAAAGTTGTCCGGGGACCTGCCTTATGGACCTGAAGTCCAGCCCCTTCCGTTACCGGAGCAAGATGCACCAACTCCAGTGAACGAAACCGCGATCCTTACCGGCTGGGGATACTTAGACGCATTCTATGACGAACCACTTACGCTTCAGAAGGTGAACTTGACAGTTTATCCTTACAACTACTGCGACCAGTATCTGCCGGCGCCTTTTGATCCCGCACAAAACCTTTGCGCAGGTGTTTCTGCTAACGACCAAGGTCAATGCAATGTAAGTGCTCGCATAGGGTAGGACATGAGTTTAAATATACTATGACACTTTACAGGGTGATAGTGGTGGTCCCCTGGTGGTTAACGGAGTTCAAATTGGTATCGTTTCATGGTCAGTTAAACCCTGCATCTCAGCTCCAGGAGTATTCACAAGGGTATCCCCCTTCCGAAACTGGATAAGAGCTGTCTCTGGAATCTAGAAGTTGATGTTTAGAAATATTTACATGTGCAAAATTGTCATCAGCTTTTCAAATGAATAAAGTTTTTAGTTTAAAAAACAATTTTGTTACACAGTTCATATGATGAAAATTTTTGCTGGTAATGAAACTAGTCAAAAATGGTATAACTGCATTGAAGAAGGTATTTAAAGAACGATGTTTTTTATGTTTGATGTTTGCATAGAATAACATTATTTAAATTAGAATTTTCCTTTGCAGTGCAACTTTTCTGGTTGGCAGTCTCCAAGAAAGTAGTATAACTTAAGTGGTCTAATTTCTAAAATCTAGTGAAGTAGTGACATAAAATAACTCTTGCCCCAAATTAATTTCACCATAAATAAACCATTTTCTAAACATTCTATTATTGTTTGTTTGTCTCTTAAATTTGCAACTGACATCTACTACAGATAACAACACTACAATGTTACATGTAATGATATAACGACTTTGTTTTGAAATTCAGACTAATATAATACTCTAAAAAAATCGGAAATTATTGGTTCTATTAAATTTATTGGTACATATTGCCGATCTAGAAGAAAGATTTTAAGAATTTTTTGACCTCATCGATATCGGCGATACGTAACATTGTAGTGTTATCTTTAGGAGACGTATTCTCGTTAGGGTTATTGGAAAGGCGGAATCAAATCAATTATATGTCAATAAATGAAAAATTGACCTTCGAACACTTATGCAGATGCAGATAACTACTAGGATATATTTTCAATAAAGATAGCGCCTATTATTTAAAAACAAATGAACACGGGTTTCGACCAGTGGGAAAAAGCTGCTTTGTCAATAGGCTACCTGAAACATGTTCTACGTTTTGCTCACTATTTTCGCATCGGTCTTGACCAGCCAAGCTGCCCGTAAGTATTCATGACGTGTTATTAAAATTTGCATGGCCAATTGTAATTTGGGGTTTATTCCACAGCTGCCCCGAGAATAGTCAATGGAACTAACGCCACACAGGGTGAATATATGTATGGTTGGGATAAATTTACTGTATAGGCACCAAATTACTGCGTTCAAATAGACTCTTAAATAATTTGTATGGGCAAATAATGCAATACCAAGATGCTATTACGTAAATTTGTCTCTTTTTCTATTTTATCAGATTAACTGATTTCGTGAAACAGCTGATTTGTTGGAGTTGTAGAGAAATTCGACTTTCCTTTCCTTGTCTTTCTGGATCAAAATACAAAAATGTGTTAAAAGTTATAATTGAAAACAAAATACTTTTAAGCTACCTGTTTAATGTTAAATTTAAACTCAGGCTGTTTAATGTTATAAAAACAGCGGGCGCAAAAAGTAACTCATAACGCTGCGATATACTATTCTAGGTATCCATTAGGCTTAATGCTGGTACATACCATGAGTGTGGTGGTTCTATAATCGGACGTAAGTGGATTTTGACTGCAGGTCACTGCATTGATGAGTAAGCCGTTACTAATTTAGATTTACAAACCAACCACGTTGCGATAATCTAATCTCTCGTAGTGGTATTTCCTCTGTACGGTTTGGCACAATTGTTCTGAATGATGGTGGTTATGACGCCCAGTACGACGTTAAAGTAGCGAGGAAACATTTGCACCCTAACTTCACAGACGGTTACAAAGCAAATGGTGAATGGCTTTTTGCGAACGACATTGCTCTACTGGAGGTACTACAATATCCTATAAATTGATCATTTTTGATATCATCTACTTACAGTTGGAAAAGGATTTGGAATATGGACCCAACGTACAACCGCTTCGATTGCCTCAACAGGATGTACCCACTCCAATCAATAAAACAGCCACGCTTACCGGCTGGGGATACTTAGACGCATTTTATGACGAACCTCTTACCCTTCAGAAAGTAAACTTGACAGTTTACCCATACAATTACTGCGATCGGTATTTGAGCCCACCTTTTGACCCCGCTCAAAACTTATGCGCAGGTGTTTCTGCTAATGATCAAGGCCAATGCAGCGTAAGGACTTTATGGAATCATGAACTTCCTTTCCATCTCTTGGTCGTTAAATTTTTTTTAATTTTCCCATTTATATCTTTGCAGGGAGACAGTGGTGGACCCTTGGTGGTTGACGCAGTGCAAGTTGGTATAGTTTCGTGGTCAGTTAAACCCTGCATCTCAGCGCCAGGAGTATTCACAAGGGTATCCCCTTTCCGAAACTGGATAAGAGCTGTCTCTGGAATCTAAAATTTGATATATGTAACTAAAATGCGCATATTATGATAAATGACCTTTTGATATTGTATTTCAACAACAACTTGTTTAGATATCGTACCAAATATCGTGGTAAACTCAGTATATTACATATACTGCTGCACAACAGCAGAAATCGGATAATAAATGTGTTTGGAATCTAGAAGTTGATATTTTTTCAAATAAATCAAGTTTTCATGATATTACAAACCCGGCTTTGATATTGATGACAATATTTCGGACCAAAAATATGCAGCTGCAAGACTCAGTATCAAAAGAGAGTTTCTTTGGACGTTGCGGTGGAATATATGATGATATGAATGAGGTTTTTCACCTTTGTTCGCTGTTCTCCATTTCCGAACGTAAAGTCGTTTAATTTGAAAAATCATTTAAAAATCTTTCTTATATCCCCGTTTATTAAACAAACAATAAAATATTTTACTGTTTTGAAGTACATATACGTGTTCATGTAGGTACAAGCGGTTTGGTCGAAATATATGAGCCGCTCAAAGGAAAGGATATAACTGAATAATACCATTTTAATTACATTTTTGCTTTACAATAATATTTTTCTAGAAATTCATTGTTAAGATTTAACAGAAAAGTAGTATAGCTGATGAGGTTGCATCATTATAATGAAGTCGTAACAACACTGCATTAAATTAATTTCATCATAATCAAGAAATGTTCTCACCTTTGCATAAGTTTTGTGCAATTTAGTTTCTTATTTTATTCGCTATTATTATCCTTTTTAAAATTTTACCAAAACGTTATTAAAAGTTGAAGAAACATTCTGTCTAATTAATCCGGAAAGTTGTTGTGAGACTGCTAGGCACACCCTTTTTCATTGAAAAAATTATGACAAGCAAATTGTAAAAACTGTTTACTATTCCTAACTTAATAGAGGACTTAACACTTAACTAAGATGCCATTAATTTCTGTGAGAAGAGTATTGCTACACTTGTTGATGACGAAACGCAAATAAGCTGTGTAATTGCTAGCCTTTGCAAAATAGACAAGACGCAAGTACTTAATAATGCTTAATAATTTTAAATGAGGGGTTAGAAAATGGCTGGCCAAACTATATATGCCCAAAAAACTAAAAAATCTACAAAAGCATTTAGAAGTTATAAAACCATTCAACATAAAAAACTATATGTTTGTGACTTGTTAGCAGAAGAAATAGGACATACGCTGTTACTTCTTTCACTATAATATTGTGTCTTCAATCCTATTGAAGAATATGCGGCACCAATTAAAATCAAGGACAATATTCTCCTCCCACTTTAAAGTGTCAGTGTTGAAAAAAATATACTTTCAATCATATGGTTAATTTCATGAGAATTAATTTATGGGAAATTGGTGACAGTGATACAGAACTACATATAGAATAATATTAATCCCTTCTTCATTAAATATGCGTCGGGTATATGCCATAATATTTGGAAAACTTTTATTTTTAGTTATTATATTCTTTTCGTGGTCCAAAAACTTTTGGTACTGCTCACTTACAGATTGTTTGTTGCCAAGCTATTATCTACTAAACACTGGAACCTATATAGGTAGTTTTATTTCATCCATTAAGCCAAAACTATTTCCCTGTAGCAGAAAAATGGTATAACTCACTGACCGACCATTCGACAAAGCAGTCATGAGTAAGACTGACCTATATTTTCTAGTGAATAAGCGATACCAGTAGGGAAGAAAATAGTGATACAAACCATATCGTTAATTGACGTTGTGGTAATGAGCCTGTCATAAGCAAGGCAAAATTAACCATTTTATGGTATGGGTACAATATAACAGCAAAAAATATAAGTAACAGACGTTGTAATTCAGATAATTTAGCTAATTGTTAAATAATTATTATATTTCAATATTTTGTTTCTGTGAATTTATTCAAAATTACAGTAAGCTAGGGCTATTGACTGTTTCTAAATAATTAAGGCCTTTTGGCATTATTCCAGGTATCGATCATTATTATTGATGGTGCCTAGCATTTATACGGTGGTTCAATAATCTCACCCAGATGGGTTTTGCCAATTACGATTCGGAAAGTGAACTTGACAGTTTTCTCGTACAATTACTGCGATCAGTATCTGAGCGCACCGTTTGACCCAGCACAAAACTTATGGGCTGGCCAATACAGCGTATGGAATAGTGACTAATTTGACTTCTTTTCAACCTTTCAGTGGTTAAACTTTATTTAATGTTTTTATCTTTGTAGGGTGATAGTGGTGGACCTTTGGTGGTTGGCGAAGTCCAGTAGGTGTGGTTTCGTGGTCAGTTAAACCTTTCACCTCAGCACCTGGAGTATTCACCAAGGTATCGCCCTTCCGAAACTGGATCAAAAGCGTTTCTATCTTAAGATATTGATAAGCAGTAATAAAATTTTTGTGTGCTCCTTGGAAAGCTCAGGTTCTACTGTGTTACCTAACAAATGAAGCACAACCGAAATAAATTAAAAGTTGGTTAATTTTCGACCAATCGCACCGGACCATACATCGTTGCGAACCCTACAGAATGTTGACTTTCTTGGAGCAGGGGCATTTATTTTTACTAGAAGAATTCATATGCACTTCTTTAATACGTCTCGTTCAAAACATATTTAATCAATAATTTTTAATAATTGCAAATAGTTCGAACAACTCTACGAATCTCTCCACTACGGACCTAGATGTCCAGGAGTCTAAACACATATCATCGTCATCTCGACAAATTTTAACAATTTCCTCTAGCGCACTAAATTAAATTTGGTAATATTTTGACTGTAGTCCCCTCTGAAGCTACTTAGTATATTCTTAAGAACTTCCCGATTACATTTTAATGTAACATGTTGACTTAATAAGAGAATCAATAGAAAATAAAATTAGACAATATGGAACAAATTTACACTTGTTTCACTTCTTGACGGTTCAATACTAGTCACTACATATCATTTTCTAGCTTTTTTAGCTATTGTTACTACTATAAACCAGTCACTGCAACTGTAAGCCTTTAAAACCCTGATTGCAACCGATTACAGCCAGTTTTCATTCATCCGTCTCGAAAGACAAAATGTCCATTTCAAAGCTCAGGTTGGACTGTGTTATAGAATAAATGAATCACAACCGAAATACATTGAAAGTTCATTTTGTTATGCCGCAGGGAAAGGGCATAAATATTACTAACTTTGCTATTGTCTAATATACAGATTCGTAGCAGAAATATATGTAGTAAGGCAACTTCCCTTTTTGTAACCCTCGTAATAAGAAACTAGAGTTCAACGGTAAACCCGATGTGATTTTATTTTCAAAATTATTTGCAAAATTGCAATTTTTTTTTAAATTCTTGCTTCGATTTCTGTTGTTATTTTAAAATGATCCTGGATTCAGTATAAAAGTGCGCATCATCGAAACAGACGATGAAATCTGTTCGTTGTTTTTGTTCATCAAGTCACCATCGAGATATAATTATAACTGATTGGCCAATGAATTGCATTTACCTTATCGAGATACGCCATCTCTATTAGAACGCCACATAAAGATAACTCAAGATGTTTATATTTAAATCACTACCATAGAGCGAAGAGCAGGTGGTGTTTCATCTGAAAAATGCTTCTTCTTGCAGTAGTACTGATTTCCGTGTTATTTAGGAGTCAGGCAACTCGTAAGTACAAATTTCCTATTATCAATCACTTAAGTAAAAGAAAAGTTCTAATAGCAGAGGATTTTAGGTTTCGATTAGAATGGCTGATGGGACTTTCCATACATGCGGTGGAACCATTATCGGGAAAAGGTGGATTCTGACCGCCGGTCATTGCTTGAGCACGTAAGTGTGTGTGAATATGTGGCGTTTTAGTAATCTTTCTTTGATGCAGGGGACTGAGTTCAATCAGGTTTGGCACGATCGTTAGAAACGAAGGAGGTTTTGAATCGGAACGTGATATTAAGATCGCTAAGCAAATTAGTAATCCAGATTACTTGAATGATTATATGTGGGGAGAATGGATCATTGAAAACGATATAGCACTGCTTGAAGTAAGTCTTAGTTTATTTAGTTACTAAGCTTGCGAGGAAATTCTAATTTGTACTCGATGTTATGTTACGTAATGCACCATATAGAGAGAGTACAATAACAACCCACATTTATTCAAAAATTGAACTGAGATGACTTTTACTTGATGAAAATCTAAAATAAATAAGAACTAAAAGTTCAGATTTTCACGAAATTATATATTATGACATGACAACTGTTTCGAAAACACCGTGTCTTTGTCAAATGTAATATTTACCAAATACCTGCTACTATATATACCGAAAAATGACCATAAAACCTTAATTAATGTTGTTGCGAGAATTTAAGTTTAATAAAGGAGAGGAATTTAAATCTAATTGATCGTTAAGCAATACATTTGAATGTCTCATTTTGTTAATCTCCATGGCTTCTAATAAATTTAATTTTCTACTATTTGTGGCTGTGTGTAATGTATCAAAATTGTCGTCAAAAATGTGTTTTTCTGTGTTGAAGTGTGTAGCATAATTAGAATCTAGACTATTGTTTTTAAACGCTCTAATATGTTCGTTAATGCGTTTCTTGAAGGATCTACCTGTTTGTCCAATATAAATGTTAGGACAAGATCCACATTTTAACTTGTAGACACCTGATTTTTGGGATTTTGGACATTTCGATTTATTGTTTTTTAAATATTTCCCTATTGTGTTGTTAGTTCTGAAAGCTTTTTTTAAACCACATTTTGACAAATGTTTTGAAACTGTATATAAGTGTGTGTATAAGGATGACTTGAGCTGTTACGTATGACTGTGTCCGCGGGTGAAGGTTTATGATATATTGAAAATACTAATTTGTTTTGCACTTTCGTAATAGTTAAGTCTAAAAAATTAATAGAGTTATCCTGTTCAATCTCGATAGTGAATTTTATACGATTATGTATTGAGTTAATGTAATTTAAAAAAGAATTTAATTGTCTGTTCATTCCAACAAAGCAAGCAAAGACATCGTCCACATATCTATGCCACCATAAAAAACTTTTACTTAAAGTATGTTCTAGTATGATATTTTCCAAATTATCCAAATAGTGTGGAGTGACAAAGACAAGAATTGTTAAACAATTTTGAATCCACAATCGCCTAAATTATATTCTTTAGTTAAATTACATAAACAAGATATGCCCATTAGACCAGTGGTGTCTTATGTAACAGCTCCAGCAGCTAAACTCTCTACAAAATTAGTAAATATTTTAAACTTCCACACAGATTTTAAACCAAAATTTGCAATAAAAAATTCTTTTAAATTAATCAACAAAATTAAAGATATCAAAATCCCTTCTAACGCAACTCTATTGTCTTTTGATGTACAAAACTTATTTCCCAGTATTCCACCTATGGATGTGATACATTTAGTAGATTTTACCCTAACTCGGAAACAGGTTAACCTATTGGTGAAACAAGATTTATTAGATTGCTTAATAGTATCTTTAGACCAAAATTATTTTGAATTTAATGGACAGATTTATATCTTTAAAGAAGATTTGATTATGGGAAACCCACTTAGTCCTTTTTTAGCCGAGATTTTTATGGATAATTTGGAAAATATATACATACATACATACTAGAACATCCTTTAAGTAAAAGTTTTTTATGGTGGTATAGATATGTGGACGATGTCTTTGCTTGCTTTGTTGGAACGGACAGACAATTGAATTCTTTTTTAAATTACATTAACTCAATACATAATCGCATAAAATTCATTATCGAGATTGAACAGGATAACTTTATTAATTTTTTAGACTTAACTATTACGAAAGTGCAAAACAAATTAGATTTTTCAATATATCATAAACCTTCACGCACGGGCACAGTCATACATTACAGTTCAATCACCCTTATACACACAAATTGGCTGCATTTAACTCTTTTATATACAGACTTCTTAATACGCCACTCTCAACAGAAAATTACAACAAAGAACTTAATATCATTAAACAAATAGCACTGAACAACGGCTACAATCCGTCCATTATAGATAAAATTATAAATAAAAAACAAATACAGACAACAGTAAACTCTATTTATCCGAAACCAAATACAGATCACGAACAATTTAAAACAATTACATACATAGGAGGATCTAGCGAAAAAGTTTCAAAACATTTGTCAAAATGTGGTTTAAAAATAGTTTTCAGAACTAACAACACAATAGGAAAATATTTAAAAAACAATAAATGGAAATGTCCAAAATCCCAAAAATCAGGTGTCTACAGATTGAAATGTGGATCTTGTCCTAAAATTTATATTGGACAAACAGGTAGATTTTTCAAGAAACGCATTAACGAACATATAAGAGCGTTTAAAAAGAATAGTCTAGATTCTAATTATGCTACACACTTAAACACAGAAAAACACATTTTTGACGACAATTTTGATATATTACACAGATCCAGAAAAAGTAGAAAATTAAATTTAATGGAAGCCAAGGAGATTAACAAAATCAGACATTCAAATGTATTGCTTAACAACAACATTAATTAAGGTTTTATGGTCATTTTTCGGTATATATAGTAGCAGGTAGTTTGTAAATATTTCATTTGATAAAGACACGGTGTTGTCGAAACAGTTGTCATGTCATAATATATAATTTCGTGAAAATCTGAACTTTTAGTTCTTATTTATTTTCACATTTATTCAAGTAAATCGATTTAACTCGCGGTTGATTGATTTACTTCCGGCCTTCAAAGATATATAAGTAGATAAGATCAGTTCTAAACATTGGGCGAATCTGCATAGCGTATTACAACTCCAGATCTTATTAATTTAGAGTATATTCTCAGTATTCAATCAATTTTGACGGCAGGTTCCAGTTTTTGGACAGTTTTTTTGTGTTGCCTCTAGCTCGCTGAAGATTTGCCATACGGTCCAACAGTTCAGCCTGCGACATTGCCAGAACAAGACGCTTCTGTCCCAATAAACCAAAGCGCCGTTCTTATTGGCTGGGGATACTTAAGCGGCTTCAGTGTGGAAAAACCCGAAATCCTCCAGAAAGTTAATTTGACTGTTTACGGAAACGACTACTGCGACAAAGTTTTGACGGTTCCCTATAACGATACCCAGAACTTATGCGCAGGGGTTGACGCTAACGATAAGGGACAGTGCACCGTAAGCCTCTGAAATTAAAACTTATTTGATTAACATTAGATATATAAATCGTTCTAGGGAGATAGTGGTGGACCATTACTTGTGAACGGTGTACCAACAGGGATTGTCTCCTGGTCCGTAAAACCCTGCATATCGGCTCCAGGGGCTTTCACTAAGGTATCCTATTATAGGAATTGGATAAGAAACGTAACTGGAATCTAGAATGTCCTCGATCATCAGTATCAGAGTACTAAGACCGATATCGTGAAACGGGAATTTTCGAAACGAATTTGTTTAATAAATTGTACTTAATTGCAGATGTGCTTCATTTCCATAAGAGTCCAACAAATATAGGGATTTAATGAAATTCAAATGTAACATAGGTCAATTATTTATTAATAAATAAAACAGGCATATAGATTGAGTTAATCAAACTCAAATTTTGTTTTGTAGGCTAATAAGAAATAGTAAATAGCCGTACAAACGCAGATTTGCCAAGTTATCTCAGAAAATTGACTACTCGGCTAAGACCGTAATTTTCTCTTTTGGGTCTCAGTTTTTTTAAAGTTTTCTAAAAGATAATTTTATTTATATGAATATTGATGAAATTAATTTTAGTTGAAAAATAGTTAATTCGATTTGACAAATGAATTAATTAAGGGTCCTATATCCTGCTATGTGCTATGCAAAAAGCAGGAAATATAAGTAAACCTAGTAGTTTTATTACTGTCTAACGGATGAATTCGTAGCAGTAAAATGTGGGGTCAAGCAACTTTACTTCTTGTAACCTCGATAATAAGAAAATCGAGTTCAATTGTAAATTCGTTGTTTTTTAAAATATTTGGGATTCAGTTTAAATGCGTTTCCAAACAAACAATGAAATCTTGTCGTTATTTTTATTAATAGGGTAACAATCTGATTTGCCCATGAATTGCGTTTCTATATAAAGATACGCATCTCTATTACAACGTCACGTGAAGATAACGCAAGGCGTTTAAATTTAAACCACTACTATAGTGACAGGAGCAGATGAATTTAGACTATCACAATCTAAAAAATGTTTCTTCTTGCTGTGGCATTGGTTTCCGTTTTGGCTAGCAGCCAAGCAATTCGTAAGTACATTTTTTAAATTTTCATACATTGGAAAATTAATTAAGTGAAATGTGTATTACAGCCCTTGCAAGAATTGTTAATGGGACAGATGCTACAGAGGGTGAATTTCCGTTTATGGTAAGCTGTTTACTACAAAAAAAAGGGTTCCATTCGCAGAAAATTTTAGGTGTCCATTAGAATGGCCAATGGTACTTTCCATACATGCGGCGGAACAATTATCGGGAAAAGGTGGATTTTGACCGCCGGTCATTGCCTGAGCACGTAAGTCTGTGATTTGTGAACATGTGGCGTTTCATTAATTTTTCTTTGATCCAGGGGGCTGAGTTCAATCAGATTCGGAACGATAGTTAGAAACGAAGGAGGTCTTGAACCGGAACGTGACATCAAGATCGTTAAACAAATCGGTAATCCGGATTACTTTAATGACTATGTAGGCGACGAATGGATAATTAAAAACGATATAGCATTGCTTGAAGTAAGTTTTGGTTCATTTAGTTACTAAGCTTGCAATGAACGTTTGGATGCAGGTAACTTGAATATGTTATTAATATATAATTATATAATAATTGAAATCATAATACATGAAACAGCTATTCATTATAATTTCGCATAATTAAATGGTCATTTGCATTTGGGCTTTAAACGTCTACCACTAGCATATCCTTTCCTTCATCTATCACCCTGCATATCCTTTCTTTTCCACAAGAATTCAATGCATTTATTTGTAAATTTATTTCACCATTTTCCTTTTTTTGACCAGGACACATAACGACCTATAACACTATCATATCGTCTCTTCCTCCCTTAGGAAATTTCTCAATAAAGTTGTTTCAAGGTTTGAATAATTATACAAGCTCAATAAATTGATCTTACTGACTGTTATTGACCTGTCCGCTAATGGTTCCCTTAGTTGACGAATTGGAGCATTTTCCTCTTCTAAAGATAGCCAACCTCATCTCATCGGCAAACTATCTAAAAGCAAAGGACGGCGATGTTGAGATAGATAGAACAGTCTCCTGAACTACTGCCCCTGTAGTAGGACAACTATATTTGTTTCCCGACACTATTTAGATTCGCATATCTCACAATTTTCGATATGGAATATATTGGATTATAAATTAAATTATAAATGGAAGCAGACGAGGCGCAGATACTTCAGTTTCTAACATCAGTGTAGTGTATATTTTCTTTTCTTGCATATAAAGCTATGTATTAATCTTATTCTTACATTAAATACTGAGTTTGCAAGCACCACAACCAATGCAAACTTCTGCTTCAGATCTTATTAACTATGAGCTTATACCAAGTATTTAATCATTGTTCTTCTGCAGTGTCCAATTTTAGCAAAGTATCTCTGTGTATTGCATGTAGCTCGCTGAAGATTTACCATACGGCCCAACAGTTCAGCCCGCAAAATTGCCGGAACAAGACGCTTCTGTTCCAGTAAACCAAAGCGCGGTTCTTATCGGCTGGGGATACTTAAGCGGCTTCGGTGTGGAAAAACCCGAAATCCTCCAGAAAGTTAATTTGACTGTTTACGGAAACGACTACTGCGACGAAGTTTTGACGGTTCCCTATAACGATACCCAGAACTTATGCGCAGGGGTTGACGCTAACGATAAGGGACAGTGCACCGTAAGCCTCTGAAATTAAAACTTTTTTTTATTAACATTAGATATATAAATCGTTCTAGGGAGATAGTGGTGGACCATTACTGGTGAACGGGGTACCAACGGGGATTGTCTCCTGGTCCGTAAAACCCTGCATATCGGCCCCAGGGGCTTTCACCAAGATATCCAATTATAGGAATTGGATAAGAAGCATTACTGGAATTTAGAGCTAAATCGAATTTCGATTTCGATCAGGAAATTTGTTATGAATTTCTAATAAAAAAATAATAAATGCATCTCTCTTGCTCTCCTTTACCATCTTGGAGTAACTGTCGTGCTTGAGATATCTCTAAGACCTTATTTTTCATGGACAGGGAACGAGCTTTACATTTTTGTATTTAAATGTCAAGAAATGATCATGTCCGCTTTGGGTTGGTAATTACTCTGATGACTATGCCAATTGTATCGCGTTTCAGAAAGATGAACTTAGTTGAAACGCCGTACTTAATATGGAAGGATTTACGCTAGATCCGCTGAACCGTAGTGAGAGTCAAGCGCTAGCCTTCCCAGACTTATCATCTGGAATCTGCAATTCGTAAAACAATATAAAAATGTCGAGAAAAATATTTCTGTATGAAATAATACCAAGCAAGTAGCTAGCTTATATCGCCTCTTATCTAAAAAGGTTGGTCTTGTTTATTGATACATAATAAATTTTAGGAACAAAATTTATCTAATTAACCTGGCACACTTATTTGCACTCCACGTATACAGGCCTATATAGTGCGTATGATGTTTTGTAGACGGTTGCAAAAGAATGTTTTGGTGTCTCAAAGATAAGTTTCTTGTCGAAATATAGGCACTTAGCTCCATCTGTCAAAGTAAACAATGAATGGTCCATAGTGGTGGTACTCTGCCTCATTTTTTTGAAAAATTTTACCTACACAATGGAATTGCTTCATTTCTGGATATATATAAGAGACGGTATCTTTAAATTCAGCAAGCTTAATCGCAATATCCAAGGTGTTAATTTTTGTTAAAGAGGAGGAGTTTTATATTAATAGGAGAAAATGTGTAGTACTCGAAAAATATTACCTGAATACATATTCGAGATGAAAAGTGTTATGTGGTTATGTAGTTGCAGTAATACTGAATATTTTTTCGTTTCTATCAATATCGCTAGATTGTTTATTACAGCGAATGCGGCTAGTAAAATGTGTTTTGCCTTAATTCCAGTTGCAAAATATAGAATAAACAGCGACTTATTTTCACTGACAATCAAAATGACTCATTAAATTTTATAGTCATAAATATTATTTATATATACATATTAGTAGTATGGTGGTATAAATCTGTTAAGGTCAATTGGAAGATATTTAAGTTTCCATTACGTTGCTGGCATTAGTACGTTAAAAAATTAACTTACAAATGTAAGATAAAAATCGCAACCAAAAGATAACATTCAATATTAATAATCTACTTCTCAAATTAATGAGGAGTTGGATGCGAATGCTTGATTACGACGGGCCATTTTCTTCAAAAATGATTTATCTTTTAGTTGGATTGCTCGTCTCACTCTCAGCTACCAGGGGTGCTGTCCGTAAGTGTTAAATTTTTACATCATTGATTGAGAATCAAATGCTAATTTATTACGATGTCACGTCGGTATCTTCCTTTTAGCAAACCCAAGAATTGTAAATGGTACCAACGCGACTGAAGGCGAATTTCCTTATGTGGTAAGTTTACCTCAATGTTGTAGGATTTAAGATGAACTGTACTCGATTCTGAAAAACTTGGCCAAAAATTGAGTGCATCTATGTCTTATCAACTTTTAGATAAATGACTGACAGCTATTGGGAATATAAATACTCGACAAAATAGTTTTATGTTGAACATCAGGCAACTCGAAATTTACACCTTCACAAACCCGAACTATAATTTACTACGAGGTGTTAACGGGAAAACAAACTAACTAAAAACTATAAATTCCAATTCTGAAGTGAAAGAACACCATCTGAAGATAATGAATAAGATAATAGGATAAATGAGATACTGAGAACACCTTAGAAACATGTCTTCAGTTGGCAAATAAATATGTTATATAATAAATAACAATAAATTGTTATACACAATTGTATTTACTAATTAGAGCCAAACCACTGAAGTTAAAAATTGTTTTTGTTAAAACCGAACTGAATATTTACTTTTACTTATAGAAAAAAGCAAGGAGTTGGTACCATATGGCATTTTTTGAATATAACAACGAAATGTTTAATGATCTTTAATTCCAAAAAATTTTTTCTTAATGCTTTTATTCAATTGATTGACAACTTATTTTGAATCAGCTACGGAAAGCAAATTTCAACACCAACTTAAGAAACATAGTGACATTTAGCTAATTCTCGAGTGATACGGTTAAAGTTTATAGGCTGCTTTAACTTGTGTAGTCATATTCTGTTCAACTTGGTTCAAATTCTACTAACTTCAACAGGTATCCATAAGAGTTTTAAGCGGCCGGTACCATTCTTGTGGAGGCTCTATCATAGGGGAAAGATGGATTCTGACTGCCGGCCACTGCATCAGTGAGTAAGTGTACCGAAAGTGAGGTCAAAATATCAGGAAAATGTTATTTTTGCTTACATTCTGGTACCAGGCACAGAAATCCAAAATTGTCTAACTTTTTTTGTGAACCTTGCCTAGTGATGGTCAATATGACACAAAATAAACAATATTTTATTTATAAAATTTTAGGCATTGACTTAATCATAAATTTTATAGGATTCAATTTGCCAGGTTGGCAACCTAGGTGGGTGACAGTTTTTTCAGTCTGACATTCGTTTGTCAATATTGGCAACAATTATGGAGCCCTATTAGAATTATAGTCCGTTTCCGTCTTAATATTAGTTTAATATTTTATCTATCTTAAGTTTTAATTATTACGATCACCATGTGGTTATCAATAAATCAATTTGGCCTATAAAAATTAGGTTGTACGTACGTACTGGACCAATAAATTATTATTGTTATTAAACCAGGTATATCGAAACTATAAAATTTGGAACAATAGTTCTGGACGAGGGACGAGCTGTACCTTCTCTGGATATCGACATAGCGAACCTGTATTTGCATCCTGGGTTTATTAATGAAGACGACGAAAACGGAAATTGGCTTTTTGCGAACGATATTGCGCTTTTAGAAGTAAGCATCCAATTGATTCTTTTTAACAGTATTTGAAGAATATAATTTCAGCTTGAAAAAGATTTACCTTACGGACCAAACGTCCAGCCCATAGTTTTGCCCGAACAGGATGAAATGGTACCGTTCAATAAGACAGCAGTTTTGGTAGGGTGGGGATATATCGACGCATCTATTGATGAACCCGACGTTCTTCAAAAAGTTAATTTAACGATATACGACAATGAATATTGTGAACAATATCTGACTGCTCCTTATAACAATACCGAGAATTTATGCGCTGGAGTATCGGGGAATGACAGAGGACAATGCAGTGTAAGACGGAGATCTGGTCTGAAAATTGAACCTCCTTTGACTATGGTTTTCATTTAGGGAGATAGCGGCGGTCCTTTGGCAGTTGACGGTGTTCAAATTGGCATCGTTTCATGGTCACTCAAACCGTGCATCACGGCACCTGGTGTGTTCACGAAAGTATCTTTGTACAGGGACTGGATCAAGAGCGTTTCCGGCATTTAAGATGTGACGTGAATAAAAAAATTATAAATTTCGATTTCAAATATTTGTATTTTTGACGTAAAATAAAAATAGTTATTTCGCTGCTGGCTTGCATATACGTGTGAATCACCTGGAAATATAGAGAAACGAAAAAATTGATAGAATCGAAAAATTCTGCCAGAGTTGGATTTTGGTTCTACTCCCAACTGTAAGCTACTCAATTACGATACACGTCGAGCGTTTCGGGTACCTTAGTCACGGCTTTGGGAGCGATCGGATATATTTTTTAGATTTTAGCCTCTGATGGTATTTTGCCATTGGTATGGTTATCTTACCTTACTATTTCCCGAGTAATTCAGAGTGAGATGAAGCATCTACTTACATAAAATGTTAAATTCTTAATTTCGTAAACCGGAACCTCAGAAAATATTTTGTTTCATCTTCAAACGACAAACACCACAACAGTTCAATAAAACAGATTACGAAAGAAACTGTTTCGCTAATGATTTTACTTTTTCTTTTGCTATTGTCAAAGGTTCTTGATTACAACAAAATCACCAATTCAGAAACTTAAAAGTTTTCTACCATTGTGAGTTTCACAAAATTTTGCATTTAGGCGACATTCAGACACAATTATGCACCAAACACACACAATTAAAAATTTGAAATTTTCGGATTATACTATAGTGGTCAGGAAATTGAGGTTTTGGGATTATGCTATGGTGAATTCAAAACGCAACATGCTACATATTAGTGCATTTTTCAGTTCATTGGAATGTTCTATATTTCTCAATGGTAATTAGATGCGTATCGCAAGTAGATGTTTCAAAGTTTCGTTAGCCTAAAAATAAAATCGGAATCTTTTCATTTCTTTATCTTCTTGTTTTTATTCACGAACGTGAACACTTTTACATCGCTAACTGTATTGTATCGACGGGAAATAATAACTTAAAATATATAGAAAAAAAATGGTATCTTTGAAGAAGCTGATGTCGTATAATCAGAAACAGTATAAAATCGTCTGATAAGCAAAATGGAACTGGATTTTGGAAATCTTGAATTGGGTGTTTTGTTCCTAGTAAAAGTTAATTCAGTAGACGCCAAAATGATGTTGTTGGCGTTGTTTTGCTTACTGTTCGCGGTTGCCAAATGTTCGCGTAAGTACCTGTATCAATTCAAAATTACACGTAAACTAAATTTAATTTTTTTATCGCTAGCGATTGTAAGAATGACCGGTGGAACCAATGCAACCGAAGGGCAGTTTCCTTTTATGGTGAGTTTTTTTGACATCCAGTGTTAAATATAATTTTCACAACTGTCCAACTAAACGTGAAACGTTCCTTCAAACTATTGTACTCCTAATACAAAATCTATTTATGTGTCTGTCCTCAACCTTTTTGTTTTCAGCGTTTATTAGTAGAACAACGTTATCTATTGCTTGTTTAGTGGATGAGTGTCTATATATAATTTATTTCAAAATAAATAAGAGGTCACCCCTGCTTACGTCTATCGCTCTAACTTGTTGCTGCAATAAGTTTTCCCGTGTACGACGAGGATGTGTTTTTTGGATACATTCTACCCAGAGTTCACGTACACTGTAGTGATATATAGGTTCTACCCAAAATGGTATAACTTTCTTAGGTCACAGGAGTCCAGTTAGAGCTTAATATTGTGCTCTTTGAAAAGATTTTGTGCAAATTGCACCACATCTTGAATTCCGTCTAACTGCTAAATTGCAATCTTTTTTCATTCGCTTTGATAATGAATGAAGTAAATAAGGAATGCTGGAGATAATTGCTTATGCAACTGAAAGCTAAACAAGAATCAACTAAAGTTAGGGTATCTAATGGTTGGCATTCGTAGTCTCTTTTTTTCTACGGACGTGCCGTAACAATCAATTCCGACTTCTATAGTCACATTATAGCAAGTTATCCGAAGTTTGTATTTGTATTTGTTTGATTTGATAATGATTCGATTACAAAGAATTATATAAGTGACTCTCACACACGCATTATTAAAGTCTCATCTTTTTTACATTAGCAAACAGATTGCTAAAGTAAAAAGGCGAGAAACTAACTCAAAATAATTTTGTGGGTGGTTCATCTGATAGCAAATAATATCTGCGTTAAAACTATTATGAACTGCATTGCTGTAATAAGTTTTACCTTAAACCTCCGTATCTTGCTTATTCGTGTTGAGTAAATTTCGAGTTGTAATTGAAACACAAATTGGTGAAAACGTTTGTCAGATGTTGTTGACGTTCTTGTGATTTTGGTATTCTATGTTATTCTATTATAAAGATAACCACACAGAACAGAAGATTGGTTACTTAAATATAATCAATCATAATTTATTCCAACTCTACAAACTAGTTCAATTAATTCTCGTATACCGACTATTTCAAGTATAGTTTAGATTTATGGGTGATATAGTTTTGGTTAGTCGAATACCCTATTGAATCAACAATTTCTGGGCCATAAAAATATAATACTAATATGGTAATAAGCAACAAGCATCAATTACCATCGCCTTGTATATTTGGTAGTTAAAGTAGATTGGTTGGTTATTTGTAAAATATTTTTTAATTTACAACATTCTCAATTATTATCATTGTTATTAATATTATTTGATATCTTCATTTCTGTCTGGTAAGAGTCAACAAGTCTCCGATTCTGTAACTGAACATACTCCACCCATTTGCTGAAAAAGATGATTTCTTAACAACTTCAAGAATTTGGATCCAGAAACCTGTAAAGATCAATTCAATCGACAACTTCACTTTCAGTTACAAATCGTTTGCTACATAAACATGGTAATGTAATTACGTTTGCTTGGTTTGCTACGGTAGTTTTGACGTTTGTTTCATCCATTGTTATTATTTTTTCAAAATGATATTATACACCAAATGTGTTTATATTATCATTATGTAAAACCTTTATAAAAATTGAAAACTAGCTCTGAAGTTTTCGGCCATTAGGGTAAAAGAGGGATAGATGCCCCACTTTTCGTAAGCTGACTATAACTTTTTTTTTAAAGCACTATTCGAGTGAGTTAACTATTTGTAACAACTATAGTCCTTATATTTACTATCTACTCATATCATCATTCAATGCATACTGTAGATTCCTAGATATTCGGCTCTAAAAAAAACTTATTGTGTGAGGATAGACGCCTACTGTATGGGGTAGTTGCCCCTGGCAAAATTTCGACATGACTATAGATGCCCTACAATGGGATAGATGTCTCCGTAATAAAGAAAAAAATTCGTAGAAAATTAAATAAAATGTTTATTTGCTTTCTTAGTTGCAATAATATATTGTAAGGTTTTCTTATCCAAATATACCGTAAAACTAAAGTAAATGGCACTTTTATAGGAACAAATGGCTCAGTCTTTCAATCATTCTTTGGGTAAACTTAGCAACTTAACAGCGTCTATTAAAAATTATTTAAAACTTTACCTAACTAAATTTAGGAATAATAAAACTTAAAACAAATCCGCCCCTTAGGACTTCTTTGGACAAAAAACAAAGCTTCCTTCTTAAAAAAAAATGACAATAAGCAAAATTTTCAAATAATCAACAAATATTGAGATACTGTTTACTTTGGCCAGGTTACTTATTCTTTGAATTCACTTTGGCCAGGTTAGCTTTTAGAGCTGTAAGCTTCTTCTTGTGTCCACATCTATTACAGTAATCGCCATATAGAGTGCAATCTTCGTGTAACCAGGCACTGAATCCAGTCCGCCGTGGACTTGGTACTTGCATAGTCATCGAAACATTCTCTGCATTGAGTATTTTCTTTATCAGATTTAGTCTGGTCAGAATCTGATTCATCGAACTCTTGTTCACTTTCAGAGCTAAACCTAAGTCTTTTCTTTTTAGGAACTGATTTTTGGTTGTTTTTTCTAGGTTTGTCTCGTGTTTGCTTGTTAGCTTTATCTTTCAACTTAGCTTTCTTAGAGTTAATATGTTCTTCTGAATTTAAAACGGTAGCACCTTGCTTGCCTCTTTTGTATAATGGAACAGGAATTTTCGTTATAGGTGAACATTCGTTAAGATTTTACGTAAAGTTTTCCCAAAATCTTTGCAAAGATCTTCTTCAGACGAAGCAGCACGAACGGGTGTCCCTATTTTCCTTTTATATTTTCGCGACATTTTATCTAAAATAAAAAATGAAATTAGGTGATACGCTGCATTATTTTTTAAAAGTACAGTGAAGTACGGACATGTAAAGTTATAAACGGCTCATAAATAAACTGGAAAGTCAATTTTCCTACTAAGTTGCATATTAACTATTATATATATATATATATATATACATATATATATATATATATATATATATATATATATATATATATATATATATATATATATATATATATATATATATATATATATATATATATATATATATATATATATATATATATATATATATATATATATATATATATATATATATATATATATATATATATATATATATATATATATATATATATATATATATATATATATATATATATATATATATATATATATATATATATATATATATATATATATATATATATATATATATATATATATATATATATATATATATATATATATATAGCCTATAGCCTAAGTACCTGTGAATAAGTCATAGATGATATATGCCTCTAAGGGCGTCTATACTCAGTCAATAGTGGGGCCTCTATCCTTTTTAGTAGGGATAGACGCCACAGTAAATAAATAAAAATACTTAAATAATTTCGTAATTTTATAAACACACCATAAATATAAATGATACATACTATTTAAATAACAATACATACTTAAAACTTACCTTCGAAAACAAAAGTTCTGAACACATCAAAATGTCACTGTCACAAGAATCATGCAAGCGCGGTAAAATTTTGCAACGTTTTTTTAACTCAAGCGGCGACACGTGTAGTCCTGTCGAAACGCGTGCGCAGACTGTGCTGTCCGGGGCGTGGTTTGTCCGAGGAACTTGGTACTAGAGCGTGAACTTGGTTTTAAATTCTCTTTTTTTAATGTGCGGCGTCTATCCTCCAAGGGCGTCTATCCCACTTCTACCCTACACATTTTCCTTAATTTCTAATAACCTTAAAAATTGTGTAATTAACTAATTCGCCATTTTTAGGTCTCTATCAGAAATGGTTATGGCACCTATCATTTGTGCGGTGGCACTATTCTAGATAAGAGGTGGATCCTAACAGCTGCGCACTGTATGGATGACTAGTAAGTTTCTGCGGTAAATTCAAAGTTAGTTTTTTTATAATTATTGTAAAGTATTTGCAATTTTAAGCAATGATAGAGGCATTTTTGAAATTGAACATTTCAACTGTTTTTGTTAAGGTTTCTTTACGCGAAAGTCTCTTCATTTGTAGTTAGGAGTTCCATGGACCTTCTCAACATTTTTATCATAGTTTATCATAGGCAGGGCTTCTATATTACAAAAACCAAAAATTTTACAAGGTGTGTTTACGTTGTTTTTGTATTGTTACCTTTTTGAAAATTGATGTTTAGCAACACAAATTCATTTGAAAGTTAAATTTAAGGCATTGCATTGAATATGACAATAATTAGACATTTATTGATAATAATTTTCAATTTAGCGGACTATGGTCAGTGAGATATGGTACAATTGAATTAGATGAAGGAGGTATGGAAGAGGAAAGGAATATTAGAATCATGAACAAATTTGTCCATCCGGGATTTATTAACGATTACAATGAAAATGGCGATTGGGTTACCGAACATGATATAGCGCTCGTTCAGGTAATTAATTCTTCTATCCCAATTTTAGCTTTCAATATTTGCTCTAAGCTTGTAGAAAGTTTACCATTCGGTCCGACAGTGCAACCGATCGAATTACCGGAACAAGACGCTCTTATACCCTTTAACAAAACCGGAGTCCTTGTCGGCTGGGGACATACGGATTTGTTCGATGAACCTTCTGTTCTTCAATACGCCAAATTGACAATCTTCGATCAAGATTACTGTTACAGTAAGTTGGGATTTCCCTATAACTACGAACAGAATTTATGCGCGGGAACTCCAACAAATGACGCCAGTCAGTGTTCTGTAAGTGCAAAAACTTAATTAATTAGAAAATAATACCTAATGTTTGCTACTTTGATTGTGATAGGGTGATAGTGGAGGTCCATTGGTTGCTGACGCAGTCCAGGTGGGAGTGGTCTCCTGGTCCTTAAGCGGGTGCGGTAGAGGACCCGGTGCAATGACTCGCGTTTCTATCCACAGGGACTGGATAAGAAATGTCACCGGAATTTAAATACGCTGAGAATAAATTACGTATCGAGACAAGTTCTTTTTTTTCCATTTGCGTTGTAACATTGTCCTTAATTCCTTGTCCTTGCTTTGTAAAATTGGTTTTAAAATATTCGTTTGATCTCTGGCAATAAAATGAATTCAATCATAAAGGATGGTAGATTGTTCCTTGAAACGGAGTTTTGCCAATGCAATATATTGCGAAAAGTGCTCCGTCCCCCTCAAGCAATATAAAAGCGGAGTAAAGCAGAGTAAAATGCGATCCAGTTTCATTCAAGCTCTGAAGAAACCAACAGGATGATTGGCGAAACGTTAGCAAGTTCGACTCAACAAAAATCTGTTGTCAATGCATCTTTCTTTGCCAATGTATTCAAACGCAAATATATATTTAAACCTATTTAAACCTTAGAATCCAATTCATAGCCGAAACCGTAGGAAATTTGAATATTCGCCTTTCATAGTCACTCGATCGTCAAATAGGAATTTAAAATCTCGGAGTAACGTGCAGAAATTCGCTTACAAGGAATTTAATAAAATACCATTTTAAAAGCCACCTCCGCGGCCATGTTAAAATTAGCGTATCGGCATAGTGTTCCCGTGCCCACAAAAGCTAACGCAATTCCGTGTACCGCTAGAAACTAATTTACGTCCCTTTTTAATTTTTATTAAGGACAAGCTTCGACGGCCTGATAGTTTAAACAAATTCCGCGTTTGCTCCCAAAGGATGCGGCTTTACATTTAATAGCTATAATTGCAATTATTCCTGACGATGATTTCAAAAATAACATGGCGCGCAACTGTTTTGATATTATTATATTACTTTAAATGTAATTAATGGAAGGAATTTAGATTGTTCTGCAAATGTATTTTAATTAGTTTAGGTTAATTAAAACTCATTCGCAAATAAATAAATAAGGCAATTTAAACGTTCCGTTGCAACAACAGGAACAATGTTTAATTAATATTGCCGAATGTATCGAATCGTGTTGGAATTGCGACTTGTGGCACAAGATAGTTTAATAATAAAGCAGCAATAAACCAATAAGTCAATGTTTTATTGCTGTGTATCCAAGAAAATGTTCATACCAATATATGTTTTAATATTGCTTCAGTCAATCTAATGACACCGAATAGATAAATTTTCAATGCCAAATGTCATCGGCAGTTGCTTACAAGCTTGAACACATTTATTCCATACAACATACAACATTTAAAAATAATAAAAATAAAAATAAAATACACATGTAAAAGCGTCAACCGTCGAATATATTAAAAGAATGTTATTTATAAATTAATTTAAAAAAAAAATGCACACATAGCATTACTTCTTTTGATTTTAGGAAACTAGCATAAAAAACTAACTAACAAACTAACCAAAACTAATTACCTGTTTTTGATTCTGAGCAATAAAATATAATAAATTAAGCGTTTCTAAAATAAATGACTTATCCGATCACTATGACGGCTAACAATGCCACACAACTTTTACCTTACACATTTATTATTATTGACAGTGCATTTAAATTTTAATTTAATTATATGTTAATATACAAGGGTTCCATAAGTTTTCAAAACTCGATACAGCAATATGATACGGTGGAAACACTGTACCATATTGCTCCCTTAAAAATTTGAGTTCTTAGAATATGGCGGCACAATTTTTTTTCTTCTTGGTATACATTAAATTATAAAAGTATTGAAAATACTCTTTGTACGACAGGTTGAGAGTGCGTCGAAAATGATACGTCGCTTCATAGTGATTGAACTTACTTTGTGAAGCACTCTCCGAATCTGCGTCTATTAAAATTTGAAAAATAAATGCTCTGTTAATGTTAATCATTAATAAACTGGGAAACTTAGTGGTCTTAGGCGTACTCCGTAGGTGTCAACAGTCCCCAGAGTGGCAGGTAGATGCACAGGTTGTTAACCTACCGGACTCTATTTGAAATTAACATTATTGTTATTTTGTGGTAGTTGTTGGTAAAGTTCGTTCTTGAAAATAGCTAGTGATTCTAATTTGATTCGTATAACTGCGTTTTATAAAAATTCAAAAATTATTATCCTCAATTTGTTCAAAGCTTTTCGTCCCCAAAACTCAGCATTCAGAGTTGCAAAACTAGTTAAAAAAACTATATACCGACAAGTGCAAACGCGGGTCAGAAACACTATTTTTAAAATTAGGAACGTTGAGACCCTGTTGCATGTTATTCCTACTTCTATATTAGTTTTTATTTACTTGAACTCAATTATCTACCAATTTCTATAATTATACAACCGTATAATGGTCATTATATTTATTATTTGAATAAATTACCTATCTTTCTATTATATTGGAAAAGTGTATATACAGAATTGAAGTTAACACGACTAAAGTCATTTTTTTATAGATGGGAGAGTGGGTGATCAGACTTTGAACACGTTGCTTTTTTTTAAGAACATTAAAAAGGTTCCTACATTCTATTTTCTGCTGTTTTATAATTGAATTATTTCCACTAGCCGAAAGCTATGGCTTGCAAAGAGCAAAGTTGATTTTTTTTTCATTACAACATTCTTTTTATTCCCGATGTATTGCTACTTAAGTTTTGAAAATCGATCCACTAATTAAGTACGGACTTTGGACTAGCAGCCATACGTTTGGGGAAAAATGCAAATATATATTTAATACTGTTTCGGAACCAAAAGACTGTAAAAAATTTGCTAGTTAAGCAATTTAGATTAGCCAGTTGTATGAAATTGTACCACATTATTGAACCTTTTAAAATTTACTATTGGGCTTTGCGGAGTTGCTTGGGTGCATTTTAACCCATGCGATCGCGACAAACATGATACATATTAACTGTAAAAGCAAACTAAAACACGCAATTAAACAGATATTTTCGTATATTTATACAGCGATATTTACAAGTAATATTCACGAATGTTCATTTACACGTCCCATTTACAAAATGGCAGCGGCGCTTTTCATCAGCAAACTTGCCGAACCGAGGCATACCGTCAACATAATTTGGAGGCCATCGCCGACTGACAAAATGGCCCCGCCAGACACAGAAATGAGCTTGGCTTTGAGACAATATTCAAATTGGGAACGGTCCAGACATGCTATCGAGCAGTATCGCGTCTGAACCCAGGTGGAGTAGCAAGACTTACGGGGATGTGCGCCAACCCTAACGGAATTTGCTTTGTAATATTTAGAACAATAGAAAAACCTTAATCCAAAAGCACTTATTGTAGTTTGACTGATAACGAAATAAAATCAAAACTGGAAATTGATTTCTATATAATATGCCACTCGCACCATTATCTCGTACTTGAGCCAAATTAAAACGCAATAAATAATTTAAGATATTTTTGTGACTGGAGACCGATACTTCCTAGATAATAATTAGATCGATAGCCTCTAACGCTTTGACCTGTATGTTCGTGGTATACATTCAAAACTGAAACGTCTTTCTTTTGCGAATCTGTGGTGGAGAGGGATCCTCCATAAAAAATATTGTTGTGCACTTTGTTAAAAAAAAGTAAACCATTATTTAAAATTTTTCTAAATATTTAAAAATCCAAATATGGAAAATTTTTCAAATTGCAATTTAAAAACTTATTCAAAACTGAGAATCTGAAACATATTCAAAACTTTGTATGGCCTTTACTCTATCAATTGGTGAGGAGTGTTCTACCATTTTTGGAAATTTCAATAACCAGACGTTAATAAACTTAGAGAGGTGCTTCCCAAGGCGGTTTTCGCTGGATTTCTGGACGCTTGTTGGACTACCTATTAACGTAAAGCAATATCATATCGTTAAATTAATTATTTTTAACAAACTAATTGTGATTTTGTCAGAAAGTGCCATCTGTTGGTAATAGCAGGAGTAGATTCACCTTACTCAAAGCACGAGTGATAGTCTAGGAAATTTCCTTTTTAACAATTTTAACAATTAAATTAACGATTAAAATTCCGTTATGGAGCTAACGACGTTTATTTGAATTTGCGCTATAAAATTAATTTTAAGTCCTTGATAATGTCCAAAACTATCTATATATATATATATATATATATATATATATATATATATATATATATATATATATATATATATATATATATATATATATATATGCCTTAAAGATTCCGTTAGGTGACTATCTACAAACTAAAAAAAGTGATCTAGACAGCAATTTTAAGGAATCCATGTTACTATGTTTTTTTTTGCTTTCATTTTTCATAATTTGTTACATACTATTTTAACCAAGTGAGCGCAATTTTAAGGAATCCATGTTACTATGTTTTTTTTTTGCTTTCATTTTTCATAATTTGTTACATACTATTTTAACGAAGTGAGCGCAACATGATCTTAATATAACGTATAATCAGTTCGCCTAGGTCTTCACAATTATTTGTATTGTATTTAAGTCATTTTTAGATATGCAGCACCCTCAAGATTCAGCTGAAACTGCTGTGTCAAAAGAGGATTTCTTTTGACAAGAATGAGGTTAATCCATCTTGGTTCAGTTTTCTCAATTTAAAAATGTTAAGTCGTTTAATTTTACAACAAGCACCTACATTTGTAGTGCGGGGATGTTCGTGAAGTAGACCCGCGATGGATGGTTACTGAAAGGAGATCCTGGCTCTGTATTGGATGCAGACAGCCGACTACTCCTCGGAGGTCAAAAAAACTTAATGATATAGTTACCTCTCAATCGATTGATGATAGATCTGATGAGATAGCGGACCTGAAGCTTATGGTCATAGGTCTGCAGTGTGAGGACAAAGAGATAATCAGGTCTCTTAAATTTCTCAGCAGCCAATTTGAGGAAGAGAGAAAACTATCAAAGGTTTTGAAAAATATGGTGTTTGAACTATCAAAGGACCATCAAGAACTAAAAGTTAAGGTTGACAAATTAAAATTTGCTTTTAGTCAGGAGGAAACGAAGAGAATTGCAAACAATTTGTACATTTGAACCTCATGGCAGGTCAAAATCAGAAAAATAAAAAATTGGTCACATAAGTATGCGATCCTGATTTCATGAAATTAAAGTCTTGGCTTATCTAATAATGAAATTCATATTCTGAATTTTATTTTTTATAGGGCAGATCGTGAGTCTCGGGGAGGGGAATAGGAGCTTACATTCGATCAAAGATTAAGGTTACTCACATAGATGTTGAATCAGTAAATATTGGACTAGATATAAACGTGTTCACCGCGTTACATCAATTGGATGATTCGATTGCTAATATTATGATGCTAATTAATGAGTTTGTGGTGATGGGTGATATAAACATAAATCTTTTAAAACATAGCAATATCACCCATCAGTTTGATAACCTTGACGCTTTTAACTGAAAGCAGATGGTTCTCAATCGCACGGTCCTACTACGTTATTATTCTGTGCGATGATCGTCTGTTAAGTAGCCATGTTCATTACAATGACATTCACGATCAGTCGGATCAAAAATTATTATATATCGAAATTTTAAACAATTTGACATAAATACTGTTGGCAAGTCTTTGATTGTGTTGATATAAGCGAGAAGGCTGCTATGCTTCCTGACATTATCATAAAACGGGTAACGAGACCGCCTGCTACTTGGTTTATCGATGCTTTGCGTATAATGAAAGAATATCGCAATCATCTCTCGAAACATAGGCGTAATTAAAATGCAGAAACTTTGAGGCTTATAAGGAAATTAGAAATCTTTTCACCTCGGCTGTACGGGCTGAAAAAAGTCTTATATTGACTTTGTTAGTCTTATCAGAAAGTCAAATTAACAAACAAATGAACATCTACAACAGATCAAAGGACGTAGATATTCCTAAACGTCTGAGTTCATTCATTATTTGTATTGAATTATTTGTATTGAAAGCAGTATATTTCCTGCGCAGTGGAAGATAGCAGAGGTTATACCTTACCTAATGTAAACAAGCCTAACACCGTCGTAGATCTGCGACCTATTAGTCCGTTGCCACTGCTTTGTAAAGTATTTGAAAAACTGATTTTTAGGTAGATCTGGGATTATTTCACTAATAACAACCTATATTACAGTCAGGATTTCGCAAATGGTTTTGCTCAAAGTTATGGATGATATTCTCTCAGCAGAAGATAAAGGGGAAACATAGGCTTTGGTCTTATTATATTATAGTAAAGCTCTCGATGCCCTCAGTCATACTATACTTTGTGCCAAGTTAAAATACTACAGGTTTTTTTAAGACAATTTAATTGATTCGTAATTATCTGGATCACAAATATCAGCTGGTTTCAATTGACAACATTAGATCGAAAGCGCTCATTATTAGGACCTCTTTTGTTCATTATATATAGCAGATTGTAGCTATGCTTAAGTAAGTTCCCAGGTATGTTGATGACACGCAAATACATTTCTTTCTCTCGTTCTGATGTACTGGAAATGCTTAGAATCGGTCTTTAAATACTCAAATCATCATGGCTTCAAATTAAATGCCAATAAGTCTGCATTAATATATTTTGGGCCCGCTAAGTATTGGACCGCCCAAAACTTGGATATATTTATAAATTGGGTTAAAATTCCAGCTGTTGACGAATATAAAACTTACTTGTCATCTTTGATGATGAACTCAGATTTCCAAAATTCTCCAAAACGCTTATATTAATCTGCGCAACATCTATAAATGATGTTCTAAACTTTAGATTAAAAAAAAATCTCTGTGGAGCACTGCGTTTGAGTCTGATTCTATTTATTTATAACCTTAAACGAAAAGATCATGTAAGTCATAAACTTCACAATTTCAAATGGTTAAATATATCGAACAAAGAAGAATTACATTTTTGTTTTCTTCACAAACTACTTAAAACTGGATGCCCCTCATATTTGTTGGAAAAACTGACTTGTAGAAATCGCACTCATTTCTGTGGAACCCGCTTCAATTGTCAGTATGAAATACCTAAAATTCTGAAGTCCATGACTAGAAGCTGCTTCTGGTATACATCTGTTAAATTACTTAATAAATATCCTCAGATTAGTCAATCACACAATGCCTCTCATTGCGCTTTTAAATTTATTTTAAAATTACATAGATTGTTAATCTCATTTTGCATTTTTCCAGGTATCGATCAGGTTTATGGATGGTGAATACCATTTATGCGGTGGTACTATAATCTCACCCAGATGGATTTTGGCTGCCAGTCACCAGATTAAAAAGTAAGTCGTTACTAATTTATATTCCGAATCCAATTTCATTCCGATAATCTGATTTCTAGTACCAATATTTCCTCTGTACGGTTCGGTACAATTGTTATGAGTGACGGTACTTCCGAGGCGGAGTAGGACATTAAAGTGGCTAATAAATATTTGCATCCAAATTTCACCAACGATCAGAACGCAAATGGCGACTGGATTTTTGCGAACGACATTGCTCTGCTAGAGGTACCTACCAATATTCGACATATTGATCAATATTTTAATATCATCGAATTTACAGTTGGAAAGGAATTTGGAATATGGACCCAACGTGGAACCGCTTCAATTGCCTGAACAAGATGACCCAACTCCAGTCGATAAAACAGGCACGCTTGCGGGCTGGGGAGACATAGACGAATTTAATGATGAACCACTTACGCTACAGAAAGTGAACTTGACAGTTTTCTCATATAATTATTGCGATCAGTATTTGAGCGCACCGTTTGACCCCGCTCAAGACTTATGCGCAGATGTTTCTGCTAATGACCAAGGCCAGTGCTACGTAAGAACTTTATGAAATCATGAATAATAGAAACATATCCCTTTCAACCCCTTGCTTGCAGGGAGACGGTGGTGGACCCTTAGTGGTTGACGGAGTGCAAGTTGGTATAGCTTCGTGGTCACTTAAACCCTGCACCTCAGCGCCAGGAGTATTCACAAGGGTATCACCCTTCCGAAACTGGATCAAAACTGTGTCTGGAGTCTAATAGTTTAAATTTATAACTTCAATAAAAGACATTTTCATACTTATGCTTAGTATTTTATTAATGTTTCATATCAGATCGCAAATCTTTTTGGATAGGAATTTTTCGGTCTCTTGAGTTATTAAGCAACAGATATAAAATTTGATGTGCTCCTTCGAAAGCTCAGGTGCGACTGTGTTTCCTAACTAACTAGGACGGGTTGGACCGCCACGCGCGGGGGGACCCCGCTGCGAGGGGGTTAGGAAATTGAGGTTATGTGCGGTTTTTGCTTCTTATATCGGTACTATATATCTACTACAGAACAGAACTATCTTCAGAACTGTCTGTTCAGCTCGCACAGACATCTGCGCCCAAGGAAGAGTACCATGTTTCCTTGTATGTGTTTAAACTCTTCAAATCACCTAGTCCTTGAGGCACAAAAACTTTATCCTACAACACCCAGTTCGTTTATATTATATATGGTAGCACAAGACGCCGAGATACTTTACGTCACAAAAAATATAGATCAAATGACACATACTTTGTACGTCACAAAGTCCTTGCAGAAATATTGTAGATTTCGAGAAAAGGAAGTTAACGCATCCACAAAAAACTATGTATGTATTTGGTATATATTTCTTCCGCTTGGGTACACATGCATATAGAGCTACATCGAAAAAACCGTATTAGCATTTACTGTTAGATTAAATACTGAGTTTTCAACCACCATAGCTAATACAAGCTTCTGCTTCCCAACCAATACAAAGTCCGTCCAGATCTTATTAGTTGTGAGTATATACTAAGTATTTAATCAATGTTGGATGGCAGGCTCCAGTTTTTGCAGTCTTCTGTGTTGCAACTAACTCGCTGAAGATTTGCCACTTAGTCTAGCAGTTCAACAAGACGCTTCTGTTCCAATACACACGTTCTTGTTGGCTGGGGATGCTTAAACGGCTTCAGTTTACGGAAACGAATACTACGACGAAGTTTTGACGGTTCCCCATTACGATACCCAGAACTTACGGTTTTTTATTAACATTAGGTATATTAATCGTTCTAGGGAGATTGTTGTGGACCACTACTTGTGAACGCTGTACCAACAGGAATTGTCTCTTGATCCGTAAAACCCTGCATATCGGTTATCACCAAGGTATTCTATAGCAATTATATAAAAATCGTAACTGAAATCTAGAACGTAGTCGATCATTATTATCGGAGTAGTAGTGACGATATTGTGAAACGGGAATTTGCGACACGAATTTGTTGAATAAATTGCACTTATTTGCAGATGTACATTCATTTCCTTAAGAGTCCAACAAATATAGGGATTTAATGAAATTAAAATGTAACATATGGGTCAATTATTTATGAATAAATAAAACAGGCGTATAGATTTAGCTAATCAAACTTCAATTTTGTTTTGTAGGCTAATAAATAATAGTAAATAGAGTGACAAACTAATAAAAAAATATCTTTGAGCAATATAGCTTTTTGAAAGCTTTCTAAAAGATCATTTTATTTTTATAAATATTAATAAAATGAATATTAGTTCAAGTGTAGTTAAAGAGCCGGAAATATAGCTATAGTTAGTAGTTTTATTATTGTCTATCAGATTAATTCATAGCAGTAAAATGTTGGGTAAGGCAAGGTTTTGTTAGCCTCATAATAAGAAAGCTGAGTTCAATGGTAAATTCGTTTTTTTGAAAATATTTGGGATTCAGTTTAAAAGTGTACATTCTCGAAACAAACAATGAAATCATGCCGTTAGTTTTGTTAATAGGGTAACAATCAGAATATAATCACCATTGATTGGCCAATGAATTGCATTTCTATATCCATATACGCATCTCTATTACAAAGTCACGTTAAAGTAACTCAAGACGTTTAAATTTAAACAACTAGTATAGTGACAGGAGCAGATTATTTTAGATTATCACAATCTAAAAAATGCTTCTTGCGGCTGTAGCTTTGGTTTCCGTTTTGGTTAGCACCCAAGCAATTCGTAAATACAATTTTTTTTCAATTTTAATTCACTGGAAAATTATTTAGGTGAAATGTAGAATCCAAGAATTGCTGATGGAACACATGCTACAGAGCTGTTCACTATTAAAAAAAAACAATTCTATTAGCAAAAGATTTTAGGTTTCCATTAGAATGGCCAATGGTACTTTCCATACATGCGGCGGAACCATTATCGCGAAAAGATTGATTCTGACCGCCGGTCATTGTCTGAACACGTAAGTCAGTGATTTGTGAACATTTGTGGCGTTTCATTAATTTTTCTTTTATTAAGTTCAATCAGGTTTGGAACAATCGTTAGAAACGAAGGAGATTTTGAACCGGAACTTGACATCAAAATCGCTAAGGAAATTGGTAATCCGGATTACTTGAATGACTACATAGGAGCCGAATGGATAATTGAAAACGATATAGCATTGCTTGAAGTATCTCTTCGTTTCTTTAGTTACTTAGTTTGCAATAACCGCTTGGATGTTGGTAACTTGAGTATATTATTAATATTCAATAACATAAAAATTTAAATCGTAGAAGTAATCGTAGATAATCATGAATTTGAAATTTGAAATCGTAAGCCGGAATTAACTCATTGGATAATATCCGTTTTCCACAAGAATTTAATTCGTTTAATTGTAAATGTAGTCCTTCAATTTCCTTCTTTGACCAGGACACATATCGATCTATAATACTATCATATCGTCTAAATATTGTGGATTTCAATAAAATGTTCTAAGGAAGTTTCGCATGCACAAAACACTATGTTTAGTGTATATGTGTCAGCTGTGTCAAAGGATCGATATTATTAATCTCTTTCTTAGATTAAATACTGAGTTTGCAAACACCACAACCAATACAATTGTCAGCTTCAGATCTTATGAACTGTGAGCATATACCAAGTATTTTATCAATGTTCTACTGCAGTTTCCAATTTTAGCAAAGTATCTCTGTGTTGCATCTAGCTCGCTGAAGATTTGCCATACGGTCCAACAGTTCAGCCTGCAATGAGTCAAATGCCGTTTACCGCACTTGTTGCATAGTATACTATTACCATCTTGAAGTAATTGTCATGCTTGAAATATCTCTAAGATCTTATTTTTCATGTACGGGGATAAGCTTTACATTTTTATAATTAAATGTCAAGATATATAAAAATTATCATGCCTGCTTTGGATTGGTAATTTCTCTGATGATTGTTGTATCGCATTTCACAAAGATTAACTTAGTTGAAACGTCATACTTAATATTGGAAAGAATTACACTAGATCCGCTGAACCCTAGTGAGAGACAGGTCAAGCTAGCCTTCCAGATTTGTCATCTGCATCTGAAATTCGTGAAACAGTACAAAAATGTAGAGGAAAATATTTCTAAAAACGTTGGTCTCGTTTATTGATAATAAATTTTAGAAGAGAATTTATCTAAGACATTTCAATTAATATTAGCATAACACTTGTGTTATCTCACTACACCGAGCGTTAACTACGATAAGAAGAGTCAATTTCTGTCGGCATTATCCATGTCGTTGCACTAACAGTTTCTAACAATATCGCTAGATTGTTTGTTACAACGAATGCGGCTAATAAAATGCCTTCATTCTACCTTCAAAATAAAAAATAAACAGACTTATTTTCACTGCCAGTCAAAATCGTTCATTAAATTTTATAGTTATAATATTATAAATGTGGTGGTATAAATATTTTAAGATCAATATAAGATAAAGTCTGTGGTTTGATTGATCTTAACTTATTTATAATAATTTGTATTCGTATTTACTGTTGGTTTACATAATACACTTTTCAATGCTCAAGGGATTCTTTAAGTTAATCATTCTAAAACTATGTTTGAAAAGGTTACCTAAAAGCGAAAATTCCACGTCGGGTGTTGAAAAAATTGATTTTTTTTTTTTTGAAAAATTGCAATAATTTTAAAACGGCGAAAAATATCAATTATCAATATTAGTTTCAAGCTAATTCCTAGAGGTCGTATATTCTGTATTGAATTCATTCTGCCAATATCGAAATGTCAATCTTTTGGAGGGATATTCGAATTTTCATTATATGCCTTGTTTTTCTTATTATTTTTACTTCGAACGTTTTTTTATTTTTTTAATTTAGCTGGCTATGCTCATTGCCCAATAAGATATGGTATAATTGAATTGGATGAAGGAAGTGTGGAAAACTAAAGGAACATTAGAAACATGAACAAATTTATCCATCCAGGATTCATTAATGGTCACAACGAAAATGGCGATTGGGTTATCGAATATGATATAGCGCTCGTTTAGGTAATTCTTCTATCTCATTTCCCAAATTACTTCCAAAATTTGCTCCAAACTTCGAATTGATATGATGATAATGATTTATCCTGCATTATAACCAATAAGATCTTGTCTAAATCCCTAAGCGAAAACAACATGATCTGTCTTTGTTCCGTTCAAACAAATACAGTTACGCTCACATTATCGGGTCATACCACTTACTGCCCTAGTGGCTAAGAACGTGAGATCTTCCAGACTCCTAGATGACATTGCCACAGCAGTATCATCTGCATATAAGGAAACATAATTGCCTGGGAAATAATCAGAAATATCATTAATAAATATTATAAATAATAAAGGTCGCAGTATACTTCGCTGTGTGACACCGCTGGTGAGTTCTTTAGATGAAGATCTAATCACAGACGAATCACTTCTTAGCACAACTCTTTGGTCATACCCTTCAATTCAGGCGAGCTATTCCCCCGTATACCGCAATTATTTAACTTATTCAACAACAAATTAATATCAAGGACATCAAAAGCTCACTTGAAGTCAAAGAACGAAAGAAAGAAAGAATGTTTTATTATTCTGATCCAGGTTCTAGACTATTTGGTTATGTAACTAAACTAAACAGTCTTGGAACAAGACGCTCCTATACTTTTTAACAAAAAGGAGTCCTGGTCGGCTGGGCTTATATATTTTCACCGAATCTTCTATTCTTTAATATGCCAATTTGACAATATTTGATCAAGATTATTGTTACAGCATGTTGGGATTCCAGTATAACCACGAACAAAATATATGAACAGGAACTCCAGCAAATGACGCCAGTCAGCGTTCTGTAAGTACAAAAGTTAACAAAAGACAAATAGTTAGGTTACTAGAGCTGTCTCCACCCATCTTAAGTAGTAAATAACAATTTCAAATAAACGTAGTTTTTATGATTTCAAAGTTAACAAAGCATTTTTTCTATACCTTTTTCGGGTGATATTAAACAATATAACATGAGATATTTTCCATAGTATAAACTTTTTTTTGTTCTTTGCAATTATCTTGCAATAATTGCTTGAAATTTTATTATCTTTTCCAACTCGACCAACTCAAGATTTATCAATCGATATGATTCATTATTTTTCAATTATAGCATATTTGATTTGAACATTCACAGATCTATTTCTTCTTCTGAAAAAATTGCATTGGGATATTTCGGGGCTTTATTATCAAAATTACTTTGCAAAATTGTTTTCCCTCCTAATTGTCGATAGTTTTGGTTCTAAAATGCCGTTAACAATTATTCTAAGCCCATACAAATTTATGATCTATGACTAATAAGCGAATTCCCGACTCAATTCGGCAAAACAGTTTTTTTGAAACTTCTACATAGTACAATATGATACTAATAGAACCGTGGCACGATTAATAGATTGTTGGTAAAAGTAATAGAGGACCCGGTGGAATGACTCGCGTTAATCGTTATTTGCCAATTTGTGAACTTTGTTTTAAAATATTCGTTTAACCTCTGCTAATAAAATCAATTCCTATCGTAACGGATATGAAATTTTGCCAAATTCGATATACTGCAAACAGAAATCGTATATCTTACGGAACACATTTAATCATAATTGCAGCTTGGAATTTTAAAGATGTTTGCAACAATCTGTTGTCAATGCTTCTTTCTGAGCCAATATATGCAAACGCAAATATCTAGTTAAACCGATTTAAACCTTAGAATCCAATTCATAGCCGAAACCGTAGGAAATTTGAATATTCGCCTTTCATAGTCACTCGATCGTCAAATAGGAATTTAAAATCTCGGAGTAACGGGCAGAAATTCGCTGACAAGGAATTTAATAAAATGAAATAAAAAACGTGCGTCTTTTTTAGATTTTCTTAAGGATACGCTTCCACGACCTGATTATTTAAACAAATTCCGAGTTTGCTCCCAAAGGATGCAGCTTTACATTTAATAGCTATGATTGCAATTTGTCCTGACGATGATTTAAAAAATAACATGGCGCCCAACTGTTTTGATATTATTATATTATTTTAAACTCAATTAATGGAAATAATTTTGATTGTTCTACAAATGTATTTTAATTAGTTACGATAATTAAAACTCATAGACAAATAAATAAATAAGCCGTTGCGACAACAGGAACAACGTATAATATTGCCGAATGTTTCGAATCGTGTTGGAATTGCGACTTGTGGCACAAAACAGCTTAATAAAAAAGCAGTAATAAAGCAACGAGTCAATGCTGTGTATGCAAAAAAATGTTCATACCGATATTTGCTTTCATTTATTTCGCACTTTTTTTTTTATTTGGATTAATTTGGCTGATTCTAAGAATGCACACATTGCATTTCTTCGTTTGATTTTAAAAATGTAGTATAAAAAAGCTAACTAACTAACCAAAACTGATTACCTCTTATTGATTATGAGCAATAAAATATAATAAATTAAACGTTTCTAATATATCGATCACTTTAATGACTAACAATGCCGAAACCCTTGCCTTACACCCAGATTATTATTATAAGCTAATATACAAGGGTTCCATACATTTACAGAATTCGCTACAGCAATATGATATAGTGGAAACTGTACATGTTGCTCCCTTAAAAATTTCCGTTCTTAGAATGAGGCAGTACAATTTTTTTCCTGGTATACATTAAATTAGAAAAGTATCAATGATTTCATAGTCATCGTACTTACCTTGTGAAGCACTCTCCGAATCTGCGTCTATATGGCTTTCAATTTAAAATTTGAAAAATAATTTCTCTGTTAATGTTAATCATTAATAAACTGTAAAACTTAGTGGTCTTGGGCGTACTCTCTAGATGTCGGTGGTCCCGAGGGTGGCAGGTAGATGGACCTTTGCCTTAGTATTTGAAATTAGAATTAGAAAATAGCTAGTGTTTCCGATTTTGATTAGTATGACTCCGGTCTCTAAAAATCCAAATATTATTATCCTCAATTTGTTCAAAGTTTTTCGTCATCAAAACTCAATGCACACAGTTGCAAAAATAGTTGAAAAAAAAACAGTATACCGTAAAGCGCGAATGCAAACGTTGAAACCCTGTTGCTTATTATTCTTTCTTCAATATTAGTTTTTATTTATTTCAACTTAGAATAGTTAAAAGCTCAATTATAAAACGGTATAATTGTCATTATATTTATTATTCCTGTCTTTCTATTTTATACGTAGAGTGTTGGTCTTAAAAACTGCAATTCGGAATTTATTATATTTATCATATTAAATAACGCAGCGTAGACACACTGTATATAAAAAAAAGGTAACATACCTAAAGACATTTATTTGTAGGTGGGACAGTGAGTCATCTGACTTAGGACAGGTTGCTCTATTTGAAAGAAAATTAGAAACTTTTCTACATCTTAGTTTCTGTTGTTTTATAATTAAATTGTTTCTACTAGCCGAAAGGTATGGACTGTAAAGAGCCAAGTTGATTTCTTTTCAACAAAACAGTATTTTTATTCCGTATGTATTGCTGCTTAGGTTTTGAAAACCGATCCACTAATTAAGTGTGGAGTTTGGACTAGCATATGTTGCTCAAAAACATTCGCTATTTCGTGGCGATTTCCAAATTCTTGCATGGAATTGTACCAAAATGATTGAACCTTTTAAAATTATCTATTGGGCATTGCGGAGTTGATTGGGGTGCATTTTAACCCATGTGACCACGACAAACATAATACATATTAACTGTACAAGCAAACTAAAACACGCTGTTAAACAGATACTTTCGTATATTTATACAGCGATATTTACAAGTAATATTCACACACGTTCGTTTCCAATACGTATTTCGTAGCTAAATCTTGAGCTTTGTCACACTGTTATATACACTTTACAACGACAACGTCACATTTACAAAATGGCCGCGGCGCTTTTTATCAGCAAACTTGCCGAACTGAGGCATACCGTGAACATAATTTGGAGGCTATCGCAGACTGACAAAATGGCCCCGCCGGAGACAGGAATGAGTTTGGCTTTGAGACAATATTCAAATTCGGAATGGTCCAGGCATGTTATCGAGCAGTAGTGCGTTTGAACGCAGGTGGAGTCGCAAGACTCACGGGGATGTGCGCCAACCCTAACGGAATTTGCTTTGTAATATCTGGAACAATAGAAAAACTTTTGTTGAAAAGGGCTTATTGCAGTTTGACTGATAACGAGAAAATATCAAAAATGGAAATTGATTTCCACATAATATGCCAGTCGAGCCGATACTTCCTAGATAATATTTAAAACGTCTTTCTTTGGCGAAACTCAGGATCCTCCCGAAAAAGTTTTCTACATACTTCAAAATCGACTGAGGGATTTCTTTTTTAATTTGCTATTTAGAAACTTATTCCCGACTGAGAAGCTGAGACATATTCAAAACTTTTCTTTTATGTCATTCGCTCTATCTCTAAAAAGAAATTGGTGAGAGGTGTTCGACCATTTTTGGAAAAACTCAATAACCAGACTGTAGTAAACGTTGAGTGGTAAAAAAGGGTTTCCCGAGATGGTTTTCGCTGGATTTTTGGACCCTTTTTGGACTACCTAATGACACAAAACAAAATTTAATTCTTTTTAGCAAACTAATTGGGATTATGTCAGAAAACGCCATCTGTTGGATAGAACAGTAGTAGAATCGCCTTACTCATAGCACGAATGATAGTATAGGAAATTCCTTTTTTAACAAATTCAAGTTCATTAGAATATCTTTTTGGATCTATCCACACTTATTTTCTGTCGAAAAATAGAGCGTTAAAACACTACTTATTTTAGGATTTAAATATATAGATGTCAGTTACGCCACCTGGTGGGAATTTGATAAATTTAAAGTTATTTTTCAGTATTTCCATTTGTCCTATTTTTATTTCAATTTCCAGGACCGGCCGTTTCAAATTTCCAAATTTTGTGATTGTTTGAAACATTAACTTAGTATTTTAAGCAGATAATTCCGATTCCGAGGAAACACGGATAACCATTTTGATTACCAAAAATCGAAAACTGGTTTTCCACTCACCTTTCAAATAATATACTTCGTCGGTCACTTGCGTAGATACTTTTCCCGCTGTTTTCATATATGAACTTGTTCGTCAGATGGTGTAAGTTCTGTGCAGTTATTTCATTGAGGTTATAATAAGTCGTGAAGTTGTATTCTATCGACCAATCGGCTCTTGATTCCGCGTTGGCGGTCGACAGATCCAAGTAGTACTGAGTGTAATCAAAAATCTGTAACAGAAAAGTATAAATTACGATTTCTTTTAACATTTGTATTGACACAGTCCATTAAGTCAATATCGAATATGATAAAGACGAAAATAATGGATTTATTTCAATAGTTGTAGAAAACAACTAATTCTCTGAATAACAAATCCTTTAATATTAAGGCTATCGTCAGCTTTCGGCTGTATCGTATTTCTCGCACTTAGGTACAATAAATTTAAATTTATCAGTAACAAAGAGAATCCTACGAACTACTGAAATGAAAACCTTAAGAATGATAACTGCATACACATTGAGGGACAGACAGAGAAATGTAGACATAAGAGTGCCAAATAAATGACGTTGTCAGGCAGAGAAGAAGAGAATGGAACCAGCATATCAGTAGAATGGGCCCGACAGAATGGCCATAATAATTCACAACAACGTACCCCATGGCAGAAGACCTACTGGACGACCACCTAAACGTTGGCGAGATAGTTGGCAGTCAACCTCGCAAGAGTTGCTTAGACGAGGAGGAAACCGGAACTAAACAGGCGATACGCCTTCTAAAAGAGGAAGAAGAAGAAGAAGAAATTTAAATTTGCGAAGTATTATAAATTCCTTTTCATTTTTTATGGGACTTATAGTTTTGTTTCATTGCCGCCGTTTTACTTAAAATTTATGGTGAACCATTGCATTGGTTTATCCGAAAACTGTAATAGTAAAATAATATGAGAAAAGCCTTATTGGGGGTGATTTCACAAATATTCTAAAGTAAAATAACTAAAAATGTTTGAAAACAACTTTTTCAAATAATATAACCGAAAAATAAAAGATCTTCATCTACAAATTATAAAATTTTAACAGCTTACAACTGGAAAACGAGAAGAGAAGAGATCGTTAGAGTTGCTGACATTGATAACCTGACAATTATTTTCTAAAATTGGCGAAGAAAAACCCCTGATTTTCAAGGAATAATACGCTTATTTCAAATGAAACACTCCGGATTTCTAAGAAGTATAATTTTTGCAGAGCAGAAAACCAGAAAAACCACTCATATCTACATTAATCTTATTACATACAGAAAATAGTATATTATGCAACAAGTGCGGTAAACGGCATTTGACTCACGTTTAATAAACGAGTGACTTAAAAAGTTTACCGAACGTGTTGCATACTATACTTTTTCTACGACCGTTACTTTCTGGGTATATTTTCGTAAAACAACATGAATACATTCACTGATATGACCGTCAGAATTGACAAACGTCAAAATTCAAAGCGTGGGAAATATCTCAGAAAACATCCGATTGCTCCTAAATCCGTGCGGTAAATTCCCGGAAATGTCCGAAGTGGCTCGGATTCGTGGGAAACGACACTGACGTGGTAAAGTGACACTTCCCGCCCGCTAGATTGGTGTGTAATTAGGAATTTTACAGACGGGACTAGACAAAATTAATTACCTGCTTACATTAGACGAATAACTAGTAATGTTTCACACATTATATACCTGTATTAATCTCTTTTGCAGTAATAAAATAAATTTGAGAAATAATAAATAAATAAATAACTAAAGTGTCCTTGGGATTAAATTTCAGTTAACTAATTTTTTATTTAAAGTAACATGATGAAACGCAAAATACCTCTATAAAGATATACAGCGATAGTGCACAAACGAGCCTTTGTATATCGAAATTTTTGTCCAGATACTTTATACACAGATATAGACTTTTGCAACTAGTCCACCATTTTATTTAAAATTAGTAATCACGCTACAGTAAAAATCAACCAGTTGTGAGTTAGGCACGTAAAACACGGAAAAAAATTCAAATTTTGTTCTCGCTAAAAAGGAGGTGCAAAAAATCGAAATCAATATTGCACCATTAGGCAAAAATGTAGTTAGTTTCGAGGTAAAAAGGGTTCAACGTTTGACCGATCGGGCGAGCTAATTCGCTTTAATTCAAACACAGTTTCCCGGTATCGTGGACAAACGGAATTTATTTCGAATTTCCCCTGTGTTAACACAGTAATTAATTAGATTTTGTTATTTTAATAATTACTGGATGTGCTTTTGTGTCCTGGAAAAGAATCACTGTTAACGGGCAATATTGGTTTTTCACCCTTTTTTTATTGGCACGGTGTAGAGGGTTTATTATCTTGTACGGGTTTGTGAAATAAAGCTTCACTCATGTGCTGGAAATGTTTCCAAATGTACGATTTTGCGATTAGAGAACAGCGATTTAATTGGTTTCGGTCGAACATAGCGATCAAAAAAATAGTAAAAATAGTTTTTCTACTCTCTACTCTAAAATAGCCAATTATGCACCTATCAAACGTGCTCAAAATGTCACTTTAAGCCGCCAGCTTTATTAACTACTGTCGCAAGCTAATTCTAGATTTTCACTAACTAGATTTTACATTTTAGAATTTGCTCTGTTTAATACCAAAAATCTTGAGTATCTTGATACATCAAACGCTAGTTAGCAAATCAATTTAATCTGTAATAATTTATTATTAATATTTGTAACGCACCAACAAGTTTCCTGAAAGACATCGACCAGTCGAACAAATTCCTGAGTGATGTATACGGTAGAGGGAAAAATGCACTGGCATTAAAAGCGACTTAATATAAATAAAAAATAAAAAATAACTTTTAGGATCAATTTTAATTCAAAAGGTAAAACACAATTTTAAAATATCTAGAATTTCAATGCCGATCAGAATGACAAAATCACAATCACAGATATTTGATATTTTGTCACTACTGTGTTTGAAACAGGCATATTTTGCCATAATTTTAGGGACAAGAGTAACAGAAACAAGATCTGAAGTTTAAATCCACATAATTACATGGAAATCATTCAGTTTTAGTTGTATCTACTGCAGAAATCGATCACTATGCCTTCAAAATAATTCCAAGTAAAACTTTATTGCAGGCCTCTTTTTTGTTTGCTTTTTACTCTTCGGTTTGAATTATACTGACGTTATTTGAAAACTCATAGAAGTCTTCTGTTATTAACCTTTCCTTGAGTTACATCAATGAACTTTTCGTTCACTGTTTAAGACTTGGATGAATCCATAACAGTATCGAATTTCAACGAAACCAACTGTTTTATAGGTGAAATATCACGATAAACTATACAACGCACACAAAAAACTCATGAAATAAAAATACCAGAAAAGTGCAAATACATTTTTCAACTCCCTTCTGTACATTATCTAATTATAGACCCATCAAAGATGCGGAACGCAGTTAGTTACTTAAGTTAGCCCAATTTTAATGTGGATTTAATGTCTGTCCAAAACATACATACATAGACGACGCTTCAACCCTTTGAATTAAGAATAAAGTAAGAAGAGGATAGATGTAGTATAACATAGTTTCTACGAAAATATAGTGGAAGCTGTGGTAAAAGGCATTCAGAGATAATAGAGATAGATCATGTGACCACTTTAAGCAGCAAGCAACCAGAAGCAAATTGACGGTGCTCACACATAGACGTAAGAAGGGAAATGCTAGGAAAGTTAATGATTCTCAATAGCAATCGGTGTAATCATTTTTCTTCAACGGCAATCACTGGTTTGTGCGTAAAATTGGAGCTGTAGCGTCTTACCTGGCCCGTATCCTTGTTGAATTTGTACATTCTTATTGCGGGATTGTTTGGTCCCACATGAGGACGTTTAGGTGCTATTGATGGTGCAATCATAAGCCATGATATGGGTTTACCTGCAAAAAATTTGCAGGATCAGTATCTGAATCAGACACCATCACATTGTATCCGGAAACTAAATCAGTTTAATATCGATCAAATATAAGTAGTTGTTCTTAGGTGGTTCTAAAACAAATTGCTTCACATTAGGGGAGTGTATTGATTAGTCGTAAGAACAGGATTACGTAATGAGTTGCACAGAACATAAGCTTCATTGCAACCTCCTAGATATATTGACATCTAAAAAATTAAGTATAAACAATGTGAAATGGCTATTTTTATATTGTGATAATACAATTTTTGACAAATCACTATCACTATTTAGTTTACCGGACACCCTGTATAAAGAATCCTAAATTATTCCAGTCTTTACCCACCTCTTTTGTCGTGAATGACCCTAAAACTGTCCGAATGGTAGTGTCCGAAAAACTGGCCGGCAATGATTGACGAAAAATTCCCGACCAATTCGATATATTTTCGGTTGTTGTAGTCGGTATAAGCCCCGTGAAATGGCGGAAAGTAACTTTTTTGACGTTCGTCTTGCCCTGGGGGTACGTGGCCCACGAGGTAGACCTGAAAGAAATATAACAGAATACAGGGTTTTTTACCAATGTTGGCAAGTCACTGGGCACTTTTTTTCCTACTTTATCTAGATGTTTATCTAGATGTTTTAAACTTCTCTCATAATATACTCAACTCATTATTAAAAAATCCCGTATCTAATTGTCAACAATTTTCTTTTTGTTGTACTCATTTTATCTGTAGTTAGATGTTATATTTTAGTAGTACTGACTTATTGTTGCTCTTTAAATCTTCCTAGTTCATTTTATGTTATTGTCAACGGGAAATGCATGTATAGAAAAATATAAAAAAAAATAAAATTATGTAGGGGACGATGGGGAAATTACGGACCTGGGGTAAATATCTACTTTATCCCTTTCACCTGTGTCCCGCCGTTGCAATCACGAGTAACGTTCTGCCATCTTTAGTGTGCACCAAATACTCCCGACAGACGGCTGCGCACAGGTTTTAAGGTAATTGAAATTTTGCAATTTTTGTTATTTTGATGTAATTTTTGGTATTTACTATTTTGAGAGTAATTCAAACAGAAGAAGTATCGCACATAGCACAACCGATGGCATTGAAGAAATTTTTTACCAGTTATTATTTTGTTGTGATACTTTTTCTCACTTGCTTGAGTCAATTGTTCACAAATGACCTGGGGTAAATACGATCGTCCGTAAGTACCCCATTATTTATCAAAATCTTTTATTTTATATTATTTTTGTAATTACTCGATTATTTATCAAAACCTGTAGCAATAGTTCTTTATTCCAGATGCCTTGAAAAAGTAAAAAGATCAGCTTACACCTTTGAAACTTTACAAAGACCTGTACAAGAAATTAAAGAGAAAAACACTCTTTTTCGATAGGTGGTAGAGCAGCATTCCCACAGCGACCCTTTTTGATCAAGTAAAAAAGGTGTTAGTACCATGCCAAAAATGGGTAAGAAGTCAGTTTTTAATGAATCTCGAATAGGTTGAATTAATTTTAAAATCTTGCAAAGCCTCCTTTGGGGTAACAATTCCTACCCGAAGAAAATTTGCATGCGATTAGTTAAAAAAACATTCCATTATTTTCACCAGCACACCGGAAAAAATAAACCTAGAGCAAAAAGAACAAAAGAAAATAAAAAGAAAGAGAAAGGTCCTGGAACAAGAAATGACCAAAACTACAAATAAGAAACGAAAAAACACTAGAGAAAAGAAATTTAAACATTTTTGAATGTGACACAGAAAATGATGGATATTTCAGCATTTATCGCTGGGAAAAGTATTGTGATCCACAAACAGAAAACTGGATTATGTGTTCTAAATGCAAGAATTGGGCACATGAGCATTGCAGTGTTGGCTCTCGTCCATAAATAGCCCATATTGTCCGCAATTAACCCAGCACTGGTCCGAATTTACACCTACAGCTAAGGGTAATCTCATCTAATGTAATTATTAATGTTGATTTGTAAACAACTATAGTTTAATCATTAATAAAGACAGACTGATTATTATGAATAGTTTGAGTTTTATTTGTGATTAAGCGTCCGCAGATAACAAACAGTAGAGAGAGTGTGTTACTGTCTAGGATTAATTAGGGTTACAGCGCATCGTAGTTCTTTCTTTGAAAATTTCTTCATTTAATAAAATTCAATTTAAGTAGATTTTCCGATATAAAGGCGACAAAAATTGGAAAACCGCTAGAATTAAAGTATTAAAAAAGTACGCGGCTTTTTCCAGTTCGGGATTTTTGAAAGCAACGCCTCTTCAATTTTGTAAAAGCTGATTTGTCATTTTGCGCGCTCGCCGTAATTATTCGGTTTCGGAAAGGCTCTCGATTATTATTTTTAGTGCTTTCGGAGTGGTTTCCGGGAAAAGTTTTAATTCGGTTCGCGCGAAAAATTACACCCACCGTCTCCCCGCTCTTTTCGAATTTGTTCAGCACGGTTTCCAGCCATTTCCATTGCTCGCTCGCGTCTCGATCTGTTTCGCCTCTCTTCATCAGGTTCGTGTTGATAACGACGATTTGCAGTTTTAGCATTTTGCGTTCGATTATGTAGTAACCACCTGAAATAAAATTTGGAGGGTGAGATTTATAATAGCCCAGTAGGAGACTTGAATACGACCGCCATTTTTAGCACTTGGCGAATGGACTCCAATATAACAAAGTAAAAATAATAGCAAATCAGAAACCAAAGCAAATATAGAGTAAGGGTTGTGGAATTGGCCAGTCAAATTTTCTTGGTTCAATTGACCGAAATAATTTTAAAAATACATAAATATTTCAAACTGCGTGTATCATCCCGTACGTACAACATGAGAACACGAAATGTAAATTACCCAATACGTAGATTAACTGTGACTGAGAAGAGTCCGCACTCTATGTGTAGGAGATTTTATAAAGAAATAAATAGTTTCAAAAGATTTAAATGAAATATTAGGATGCTTCAGATAGAATTAGAACCCTACTCAATAAAATACTATTTTGAGAAAATAATGTAAGATTTTTATATGTTATGGTTAATTGTATAGTATCTCCAGGTAATAGACGCTATTTCCGTTGTGCTTTTGTATTTTTGTAATATACTAACACAATTTTAAATAAAGATTAATGTTATTATTATTATTATTATTATTATTATTATTATTATTATTATTATTATTATTATTATTATATTCATTTACTTATATTTATTTATATTGGGCGTTACGTCGCCGTCGCATCGTTCTAAGAACTAAAAGTCCCCGAATCGCCAGGTATCGTATTCGGGTACTGTTGGAAGAGTGTCATAGATAAACGGGATATCACAAACGCGTAATAATTTACTATAAAATACATATTATTTTTAAATAGTGATAGATGACCCTCTACCATTGCAAGTTGTTATTTAAAACATTATTAACAAATATTGATTACTAAATTAAAATATAATAGACACTTAAAGCTTTAGATTTTTGAAGTCTTAATAGATTATATTATTTATGTCCCTAATAAAAGACATTTTTGTGGCTAAGCTAGTATTTACTTCTTTAAACATAATGTCTTTTTGTAAAGTGTAATATATAAAAATATCGTGGTTCAGTATTTTGATTATTGATTGATTGTTACATTGGTTTAAACACTTATGAGATCAGCAATCCGCAATAGAAACATTTTGCGACCTAATATTAGATCAGAAAATCGTAGTTTAAACGAGTGTCTGAGGACAGTTTTTAATTTGGGATCTCTAATATACATTCGGGTTTGCATAGATAGGCTGAAATAGTTTGCCAATAAGTATTTCTACGATTGGTAGTAACCAATTTTGTTGACGGAACAATATTAGGTTGGTTGGTAGATGCGAAAAAAACTAAAATACATATTTACTATTACAAGTTTCACTTAATTATCCTTGTAAAAATCTTCTGCCACTGCGGCGTAGAATCTTTTCTTTTCTTAAAATAACAAAAAAAGGCAAAAAAAAATGAAACTGGCAATTAGGTTTACGTAAACGTAGTTCACCATCTCAAGATTTTTGCTAAAATTTAGATCCTCCAGTGATGGACATAAAGATATATTGTTATCCTCGTTACACATATCAAGAATTTCGCACACCTCGAATAACCGAAATAAGCGTTTCAATGATAGGTGACAGATAAAATAGAACCCAAAAGCGCCAAAAAACATCAACAAAATCTAATAAATTGTATAACTGCGCCTTCGAACCTTCACACGTGTGTGAAATTTCCATACACGTAAAAGCTTTTCTGCGGTTGCGAATATGGCGAATATGCCAACCACATTATTCAAAATTTAATTATCACGTATATAAAACTCCTAATAAATTAAACATTTATTTTAAACAGGTGCATTAATTTAATTTCCTGCCACGTAGAAAGCTTTATATAATATAACCCGAATGGCTGTACAGCTTTTATGTCGTCTGGCGGCTATAATAAAATATATTGCCCGCAATCAAACTACAAAACGATTGGGCATTATTAAAAGGGCTTCGTGGTCGTTATCGCGTCGGCCTATTGTTAAATAACACAAAAAATATTTTGAAGGTTGGTTTTAATAGCAGCGTTAATTATGACATTTATATTAGACACCCTTATTAGAACAACTCTTACAAAATTTAGATGGCGCCAACCAAACTCGTCGTCTGCTAATAGGCAGAGGAAAAATGGCCGCGGGGGCTTAAAACTAGAATTAAGTTAAGAAATACTGGAATCGCTTTTATTCATTGTAACATTTCTTTGTATTTTATGGCGTTGTTAATAGGTACAGACTAAAGGGGCTACACATATAAAATATAAAACAAAGTACGACAATTTTGCAAACAAAAGAAAACAAACCTTAGGTTTAGAGTACACTTATTCACAGAAAATTTCTGCTCTATCATAATTTGGACTTTCCGAAAGTTTTTTTACATTTTTTTTATTATTTGGTTTTAAAAATTAATAAGTAATTAATATTGGTTTTAAAAATGAGCCTTTTTCATGGGATTTTTAAACCTTTTTGTAATCGGAAACATAACTAAATTTTCTTTTACGTATATTGGGCACCGATTGATGTACAATAACTGTAAAGCGAAGAGCTTTTCTTTGAGACAAATATTTGTAACATTCGTTCGGTATTTCAGGCGAAAGAGAGAACTTACTCTACCACAATGGCATGAGCGATCCATAGCAGAAGCTCGTACATAATATCCACGTAAAAAATTGAATGATAATGAATCAAACTTGTTTCTTAAGATGTCACTCACAGCCGAAGAACATCCATAATGTGTGACAAAAATCGAATGATAATCAGTCAAATCTGTTTCTTGAGGTGTAATATCCATGAAATTTCCAATAGTGCACATGCTTGGCGATAATTTTTTACTAATGTGCTCTACGTGATTTTGTGAAATTAATTTTTAATCCATTCGGGACCCTTGCTTCCTGCTAAGCTAACGAGATATATCACAAATATCGCCAACAAACTAACACCAGTAAATGTGGTAGTACGGACAATTGGAGAATGAGCAGTACTGCAGAGAAATAAAAGGGAACTGAATATGTAAAATCTTGCAAGAAAGATTTGCCAATTTATTTGGCCCTAATGTGAAAGCAGAACTTTCCACAATGAGCAATAGTAAAAAACTGTACGTCAACACGATTCCTGTAGAATCAGTTGTATGACAAAGTTAACAGAACAAATTGCCTAAAGAAAGTACATATTTGTTGTGCTAATAATAAAAAAAACAAAATTTTCGTACGAAAGAGTGCAAAATTTCGTAATCGCTGTGGAAAATATGTAGAAAATGTTGATATAAAATTTACTGGGAAATATTAAGCTGGGGAACTAAGTTGACGGACTGCGGACGGACAGAAGCTGTAAACCGGACCTTTCAGCGATAGAAGCGCTTTGATGGGCATACACCGTTCAGGCCCATATGGCTACTAGAGACATAGAGGCACATAGCTTTTATATAATATAGGGGTCCAAGTGGTATGACATTTTCGTAAAGAAATTAAAGATCTTCTACGAATGTTCCTAAATTTCAACCTGCCCTTCGGGGCTTTTTATTTCTAAAAAGCGATCATAATCTTCATCAACACTGACATATTTGTCATAACGGAGTTCTAATTTCATCATAAGAGTTTTAAACGTAGATTCCTGAAGTTCTTCAGAATAAACATTTACAGCTTCGATAGCTTCTGCGTTATTCTTAAATCTTTTACTGGCAAGCCATTTTTTGAGGTTAGGAAACAAGTAATAGTAGCTAAGTTTGGAGAGTACAAAGGTTGCGACATCAGTTCGAACTTCAGTTCATCGATTTTGGACAACAATCGACGATTGGTGCGTGATGAAGCAAAAATTTTTTTCGCCAAACGAGATCGCCTAATTTGTACCTCGTGCTGCAAACGTTGCAATAGCTCTGCGTAGTACTGACAAGTGATAATCTTACCCTTTTCAAGGCAATCAATGTATATAATTCCTCTCGCATCCCAAAAAAACAGTAGCCATAACCTTTTCCGATAAAATCGTTTGCGTCTTCTTTGGAGTTGGTTCCTCTTTTGCAATCCAATGTTTTGACTGTTCCTTATTTTCAGGAGTGTAGTAGTGGATCCAAGTATCACCAACAGTTATGAATCGATGCAAAAAATCGTTGTAGAAATCCGTAGAAATATTTTCCTTGCACACAGCGTTTCCATACTGAAATGGTTGTGCAAAATATTTCGCACACGTTCAGCTGACATCCTATACTGCGGTTTTCCAATACTATTTGATGGATTTGCTCAATAATTTTTAAAGTTGTGACCTTAACGGGCCGACCTGAGCAGACTCGTCAGAGGTGCTCACACGACCTATTTTAAATACAGAAACCCACTGGTTAATAATTGAATATGGGAGCGAGGAGCCTTCTAGTATTGAATACATGTCTTCTTTAATTTGTTTTGGTGTGAAACCTTTCAAATAGAAGTATTTGATGACAGCACGCCCCAGACCTAGTGGCGCCACTTCTGGGTGAGAGTGGAGATTTCACCCCACCCTTGTATACTGAAAATTCAATTGGATCGTGGTATATTTTGACAAAATATTGACGAAAAACTAACACATCCAAACGTAAAACTGTCGAATTGATGAACTATCGGCTGCCATGTTGATTGTAAAACGTCGCAATATCTTATTAGTTCGTTTCAAATCTCAGGTCTTATTGTGTGTTGAATGGCCATTATCAGCATTTGGAGGCTTCACAATTCGCTGTATGCATTATAGGAGAGCGTCTTAGGATTAAGGGATTCATTAAGTGTCTCGAGATAGCTGTATGATGGTCAAGTTAAAGCTCTAAAATCTGTAGTCAAGAAACTCCTGTGCTGTGTAGGGTTTTATATCAATCAGCAGATTTTGTGTTAATATCATTTGAGAAAAATCTTAAATTAGACATACGAGTAGGTAGGTCCCTTTTATGTAGATGTTAATCTATTAAGGAGAAAATTTTGCTCAAGACATATTACATTGAACATCATATCTTGTGAAAGAGAAGATACTAATAACAAGTTTGTTTTATATGAACCGGTCCTGGGCCACTGGCAAG